TTCCTGCCTGAGCAGGGGGTTGGACTAGAAGGCCTCCAAGGTCCCTTCCAACTTTACTATTATTATTATACCTGTGAATGCCTCAGGTCAGTTAAAACACCAAATCAGTTGTCCTGCACCATCCCCTATTCTTGCCTGGTCCTCTCTCTAATGGAGGATCCACACTTTTAAGCAACAAGTAAAATCCACATTTCTCTGAAGTACAGGTAGGCCTCAACTTACAGCCATCTGTCTAGTGTCCGAACAGCACAGAAAAAAGTGACTTATGACCATTTTTCATGCTTGCGACCATCCTTGGCAAGTGGTTCGTATTTATGACGGTTGTGGTGTTGCTGGGTCATGTGATCACATTTTCTGACCCTCTGAGAAGCAAAGTCAATGTTGAAGTCAGATTCACTTAACAACCATGGCAAAAAAGGTTGGAAATGGGGCAAATCTCACTTAACTGTTTTGCTTAGCGAGAGACATTTTATCATCATAAGTCGAGGTCTTTCTGTTATTTTAAACTTCATAGATTTATCAGAATCCTCATGTTGGACATGCTATATTATTTCTAACTTTTCTCCATTCTTGCCCACATTCATTCCCTTCACTGCAATTTTTCTCTGCATTCCAAATGAAACAACCCAAAAACATTTTGAACCTGTTAAAAATATATATATACCGTGAGCAGTTTTGCAATTCAAAGCATCTCAATCAAGATGGAGGCAGCACTGAGGGCTGTTGGAACTAAGGCAGCATACAAGTTTAATAAGTGCTGATGATTAACTTGTTACACCTGGCAGGTAAAATTATGCAGCCAGTTTGTTCTCTGCCTCTATATAAGTAGCCCAATCAATGCATATTTACACAGAATGCATCCCATTGATTTCTGTGTGGCTTAAATGTTAGGATGGTGCTTACTGAGATACACAGGTGTGATTTAGAGCAGTGTTTTTCTTTATATAGGTGTGTGTGTGTGTTTAATTTTAATTTTATTTTTAATATAAACTTTTAAGGAAAAAGCTAACACAGTGATGGCGAACCTTTTAGAGACCGAGTGCCCAAACTGCAACCCAAAACCCACTTATGCATCGTCAGGTGCCGGGTGGGTATGGCCCATTGGGTGGGTGTGGCCAGTTGGGTGGGTGTGGCCAATTGAGTGGGCGTGGTTGCGGTGGTAACAGCAGACTGGGTGGGACTAAAAAGTTCAATCAATCAATTCCAACTTTGCAAGATCTTTTTTTTTCCACCAAGAAGTTGAAATTGACTGATTGAACCTTTTTTTTTTTTTTTTTTTGCATACGACGGCGGAGGACTAAAGCAAAAAAGGTTTTATAAAACCCAGCTGAAGGCCTAGGACTGGGGCGACGGCACATGTGCCCACAGAGAGGGCTCTGAGTGCCGCCTCTGGCACCCGTGCCATAGGTACGCCACCACTGAGCTAACACAAAAAGAAATAGAAAGAAGCTTCCAGGTTCGTTTGCAGCAAATACAGCTAAGATTACAAAGTTATTTCTTACTCTGATTACAAAAAAGAAACTTTTTTTTCTATTATTCAATTTTTTTCTAATCTAATCATCAAAACTATGTAAGTGCATTTTTTTGTTTCAGTCAAGGAGCCTATAAAGCTAGCCACAAGAGTAGATATTGTCTTTTCTCTAAATATAGAGAAGTGTTTCTCAATCTCGGCAACTTAAAGATGTGTGGCTGACCAGGGGAGTCTGGAAATTCAAGTACACCTATCTTAAAGTTGCCAAGGTTGAGAAACGCTGGATAAGAGTGAACTGATACGGTGAATGTGGCATCGAATGTTGCAAAGAATGATCTGGGCCAGGGGTAGGCAACCTTGGCTCTTTTATGACTCATGGACTTCAACTCCCAGAATTCCTGAGCCAGCCACGCTAAGGTTTCCAAGCTGAGCCATGCTGGCTCAGGAATTCTGGGAGTTGCAGTCCACGAGTCATAAAAGAGCCAAGGTTGCCTACCCCTGATCTGGGCAAATAGCAATAGCTATAGCACTTAGACTTATATACTGTTCCATAGTGCTTTACAGCACTCTAAGAGCAGTTTACAGAGTGAGCATATTTCTCTCAACAATCTGGGTCCTCATTTTACTGACCTCAGAAGGATGGAAGGCTGAGTCAAATTTGTGCTGGTCAGGATTGAACTCCTGGCTGTTGGCAGAGTTAGCCTGCAGTGCTGCATTCTAATCACTGTGCCTCCACAGCTCTGAATGGTATCCGCAAGCAAGGTATAGTATGTTAAAAAAAAAAAACCTTTCCAACATTTATATTTAAAGAATCTAGATTGATCTTTACAATAAATTGCTAGAAATATCTGAAAGCTGACTGTAGGAAACTGGAAACAAAAACAGTGGCATCAAATGTCAGAATATAAAATTGGGTGAGTTACTCAGCACAGCTGGCAGCATAATTTCATTGCCATTTCTAATGCCACAACATCTGGCTCTTGGCAGCTGGGTTTCCATCTTTTTAGTTCATAGTCCACATTTCTCCCTTAGAGGACAGGGAGAAATTTAAAAAGTTTTGCATTGCTTCCAATGAAAAATTGTCATGCTTCCTAATCAACACAAATGATTTATTCTGGTGCTGAGCCTCATCAAAATCAGGTTAAATATTTGGGGTTGGATTGTGAACACAGAAGCTATTGCACTGTGATCGAGAGACTGTTCTGGTCAGCCAGAACAATACAAGTTTGCAGACTGGGAAGGGGCCCTACTCCTTTAGTAGCTGATATTCCACAATCATATTTTCCTGTAAGATAAAGCTCATGTTTTCTGAGCTTTACTTGTGGCCACCCAGATCCTAAAGCAAAAATTTATGGGGTAGCCTGCATGTCACCACATCCAATTTATAATCTTCCTCTGCTTTCTCAAAACTTATCAGAAATATATGTTTAGGAGGAAACTCCATACAGGTAGACCTCGACTTACGATTCATTTAGTGACCATTTGAAGTTACAACAGCACTGAAAAAAACTACTTATGACCATTTTTAATACTTATAACTGTTGCAGCATCTCCATGGTCACCTGATCAAATTCGGACATTTGGCAACTAGTTCATATTTATGACGGTTGCAGGGTCCCGGGGTCAAGGGATCACCTTTTGCAACCCTCTTACAAGCAAAGTCAATAGGCAACCTAGACTCACTTAACAGCCGTGTTATTAACTTAACAACTGCAGTGATTCACTTAACAACTGTGGCAAGGAAGGTCGTAAAATGGGGCAAAATTCACTTAACAAAGATCTCACTTGACAACAAATTTTTGGCTCAGTTGTGGTAGTAAGGACTACCTGTAAATGCACTTGGACTGATAGATCATGGATGTTGTCTTCAAGATACTCAACAGGGCAGGAAGTTGCAACAACAACAACAACAACAACAACAACAACAACAACAACAACAATAATAATAATAATAATAATAATAATAATAATAATAATAATATGCACTGAAATTAGTATATCAGGAAGGCTTACTGACTACTGGAGAGACCAAACTGGCCTACAAGAAAGACCAAATGAAGAACAGAATAGAGGCATGGGAAGACAAAGCACTACATGGCCAATACATTAAAAAAAATAGCTGGGAAAGCAGATAATAACAAGCAGATAATAACAAGACCTGGCAATGGCTAAAAGCAGGGAAACTGAAGAAAGAGATCAAGGGACTAATTCTGGCTGCACAAGACCAAGCCTTAAGGACAAATGCATATAAAGTCAAAATTGAGAAGACAGCAACAGACAGTAAGTGCCGCCTATGCAAAAAAGCTGAAGAAACAGTGGACCACTTGGTAAGCTGTTGCAAGAAGATTGCACAAACTGATTACAAGCAGCGGCATGACAAAGTAGCAACAATGGTGCATTGGAAGATCTGCAAAAAATATCATTTGCCTGTAAGCAAAAACTGGTGGGATCATAAAATAGAGAAAGTCATAGAAAATGATAAAATTAAACTGCTCTGGACTTCAGAATTCAAACAGACAAGCACCTGCAACATAACACCCCAGACTTAACAATTGTCGATAAGAAAGACAAAAAAGTCTGGATAGTGGACGTGGCAGTGCCCGGAGACAGCAGAATAGAAGAGAAAGAACTGGAGAAGATAACAAAATACAAAGACCTACAAATAGAAATAGAAAGACTGTGGCAAAAGTAAGCAAGGGTAGTACCAATAGTCATAGGCTCCTTGGGTGCAATCCCAAAACAACTGGAGCACCACTTGAACACCATTGGCATTGACAAATTCGCTATTAGTCAATTGCAAAAGGCGGCCTTACTAGGAACTGCTTCCATCCTGCGACGATACCTGTAATACCATCAAACATCCACATCTGCCTATCCCAGGTCCTTGGTAAGGACTTGATAGGTAGACAAAATGCCAAATCCAGTCTGAACATCTGGCTGACTGTGCAATGATGCATAGTAATAATAATAATAATAATAATAATAATAATAATAATAATAATAATAATAATAATAATAATAAAATATAGTTGACGACCCTCACACTGAAGGAAATAAGGGAAACTCGAGGGCAATATTGGGCACTGAGAATAACCATTGCCAGTTCTGGATTTAAGTCACAGGTTATTATTTACATTCTCCCTTTCCTCTAGCTTTACAGTCACCCATCATTTTATTCTCCTGGCGACAAGAACCCTCCGCGTGATGACAAGCTGGGCTGATGGCTGAGTCAAGTCAACTAGTGAATGTCTGAAACGGAGTCCCTGCATCTCATTCATCCCCTACATAGCAACTTGGTAGACTAATTTCTTCCAAGCCGCTTAGTTACAATTTAATTTTAAAAATAACTTATAACACGCTGCAGCAAAACAACAACCTCCCCCGCCCAACGCGCGCTTCACTCTGTTTATGTAGTGCACTTCAGCCACGCCCCCAGCACGTGCCCCGTTGATGAGTAAGGCAGGGGAGAGCCGCGACTTCCTATTGGTGCGCTGTCGGCTTCTCGCCGTGACGTCAACACTGCGCGACCCGTCGCGAGGCGGCAGCATCATCCGAGCGGGCCTAGACGACGAGCGGCGTCAGGGAGCGACGCAATGGCCGCCTAGGATGGTTGGAGGCGGAGGCGGCTGTTTTCTGGGCGAGGAGGAGAAGGAGAAAGACAGAAGGGAGCCTTTTCGCCGCCAGGATGCGTGAAGGGCTGAGGCGGCTTCAGCTGCTCAGGTGGCGGCAGCGGCGGCGGCAGCAGCAGCAGCGACCGGGGTGAGCGAGATGGAAGATCGCCGCTTGCGTTGTCGGGGCTCCCAGCCTCCGCCTGTTGGCACCTGAAGGGCCGGGGGAACTGAGGCCGTGGCCCCTGGGCTGGTTTTCTCTGGGTCATCCTAGCCTGGTTTTGCTTGGCCCGTCCCAGGGAGGAGGGCGGGAGAGCGGCTGGGGGAGGTTTTCACACTGGCTTTTTAACAAGCTAAAGTGCTCTGGGACTTCAGGCTTCAAACAGACAGGCACCAGCCACTTGACAGCCCAGACTTAACAACTATCGATAAGATTAAAAAAAAAAAAAAGGCTGGATAGGGGAGGTGGCAATACCTGGAGAGAGCAGAATAGAAGAGAAAGAAGTGGAGAGGATAACAAAATACAAAGAGCTGCAAAGAGAAATAGAACAATTGTGGCAAACGCAAGCAAAGGGCAATACCAGTAGTGACAGGTTCCTTGGGTGCAATCCCAAAATACTTGGGGCATCACTTCATCACCTATGGCAGGGGTCTTCAAACTTGGCAAATGCTGGCTGAGGAATTCTGGGAGTTGAAGTCCACAAGTCTTAAAGTTGCCAAGTTTGAAGACCCCTGACCTATGGCGTTGACAAGTTCACCGTCGATCAATTGCAAAAGTCAGCTTTATGCAGAACGGCTTGCATCCTGCAACAGTAACTGTAACACCATTAAACATTCACGTCTGCCTGTCCCAGGTCTTTGGGAAGGACTCGGTAGGCAGGCAGAAATGCCAAATCTGGCCTGAACATCTGGCTGACTGTGGAACTGCCCAATAATAACAAGGTTCTGCTGTGTGAAAATCTCTAGCTGCCTCTCTCCCAGTTGCCTGGGAGGTTTATACATTTAAATAATGATATTTAAATCTAAACATTTAAATAATGATAATTTACATTTAGATAATATATACATCTTAATAATTAAATTTATATACCGCCCAACTGCCAGACAACTCCAGGGAGACAGATGGAACATTTCATACAGGACTTTAATAATAATTAAACACATCGAAAAGATGTTTGTTTTTTTGAAAGTTTTGGAAAATAAACTGGCTAAGATCTTATGGGACTTTAAAATCTAAACAGACAGGCATCTTGTTCATAACATGCCTGATATACGTTACTGGGGGGGGGGGAGTTTGGTTCCTTAATATTGCTATTCTGGGTGGTGCTAGAATTGAGGAAAAACGATTGGAAAAAACTTACAAAACATCGGGATATGCAGATCAAAGTTGAACTCTTATAGAAAAAATAAAATCCATCATTACATAAATCATGATTGGAGCCCACAGAACAATATCAGAATACATCCTTGATATCTGGAATTACTGAATTTATCAGATCTCACCACCCCAATTTTTTTTAAAAAAAAAAATGGCCCTGCTTGGAACAGTGTATATTCCTATCCTTTTAGGGTCCTGGTTAGGACTTGAATTATTAAGTTTCCATCAGTCTTAGATTGTGAATCTAACTCTAGATTACCCACACATAATAGAATTCCCCTCCTACTCCCCATGGCTCTGGGCAGTAGATTGTAAAACATTACGAGAAACATGAAGCAATAATCGTGGAGAAAACCAGCCTAGATGGGAACTAGGGAAAGGAAGAAATTATTAGGGTTTGTTTGTTAATCAGATTTAAAAACTACCCATCTCTGTCCCTCCCTCTGTATACAGGCAGTCCTCAACTTACATCCCCCAAATTTCTGTTGCTGAGCAACAGTTGGGTTTCGCCCCATTTTACGACCTTGCCATGGTGGTTATGTGTGAATCATCACAGTTATTAAGTTAGTAACAGCAATTGTTAAGTGAATCTGGCTTCCCCATTGACTTTACTTGTCAGAAGGGTGCAAAACGTGATCACATGACCTCTGGAACATAGCAGCCATCATAAATACATGCCAGTGGGCAAGCGTCTGAAGTTTGATCCTTTGACCATGAGGAGTGTGAAAAATGATCATGAGTCACTTTTTTCCAAGTGCCATTGTAACTTTGAATGGTCACTAAATGGTTGTAAGCCGAGGACTACCTGTATTCCTTGTTGGCAGAGCACAACTTTTAAGACTGTTGTAATAACAGGGAACAGTTTCTGGGGAAGGCTGCCTTTAGGCTTGTTTCTTTAGTCAAAATACTGCCGACAAAGCTTTTTTTTTTTTAGAGGAAAGAATATTAAATAAGTGTGTCTTTATCAGCCCAGGTACTTCTTGCCCTACATTGTTAATGAGGAGTCTTAGAAGTGTTTGCTGTTGATAAGATATATATATATTTTTGCTGCTGCTGCATTTTCAGAATGTGAGTTGTGTTTTTCATCTACAGAAAAATGCAAATTGTTTTGTGACAAGCAGAGGAGGGGAAAGCATGGGTGTTCCGTGTCTGTCCTGTTTTAGATCTTAATCCTATTTTGTCTTCATATTTTGCAGATAACTTATAACAGAAGTCAAAAACCCTGTGTGTTGCTACATGTTTACTCTTGCCTTGGTTGATGACTTGAAACGCTACTAAAATGCACCAGAAACTCTTGAAAAGCGCTCATTACATTGAGCTGGGAAGTTATCAGTATTGGCCTGTCCTCGTTCCTCGGGGAATTCGTTTATACACCTATGAACAGATTCCTGTGTTCCTTAAGGATAATCCCTACATCACTGATGGCTACAGAGCATATCTGCCTTCTAGGCTGTGTTTAAAAAGGTTTGGAGTTGATCGAAATGGTTCAAAGTGAAATTAAGCAACTAGCCTGGATTGAAGCAGTGCCTATAAGAAACACATGTTTTTATTTTGAAAGTGCTTGGTTTATTTATATGTATATCCCGCTTTCTGCAAATTATAACCAAAGCAACTAATGAAGCAAGGTGCATTGACTTAATTTAAATGTTCTTTTCTCTGTCTGAAATACTTCTTAATTCTGACTTGATGATTTTCCTTTGAAACTCTTGAAGAACAAGTCTCTTATTGTCAGCCCCTTTTTCTAGAATCTAAATGGACAAACTCCACCAGGCAGTTTCTCAGGCCTAGTGTATCCATACAACAGCAGAAGTAAATGGCTCTCCTAATAACCTGTGATCAGTGAAATTAATTTGCATGCAGTTCATTGCTTTAGAATTGGAACCCCGGTTTAGATGTAAGCATTGCTATTGTCCAAAGCAAAAAAATATTAATAGAAAACAAAGTTATAGATCAGTGGTGGCGAACCTATGGCACGTATGCCAGAGGCGGCACTCGGAGCCCTCTCTGTGGGCACACGCACCGTCATCCCAGCCCCGCCTCCTTCCACAGCCCCCTCCTCACTAGCAACCCCCTTGGAGGAGAGTCGCCCCTGGGTGCGGCCCATGCGAAGCAGTGCAGCCAAGGACATGGTAGCCGGGCAGCGAGGACATGACTCCGCCCTTGCGCCCCATCGCACGCAGATGCTGCGGGGCACGGGCGGAGGGCATGGCTACCATGGCGCTGCTGGGCTGCCTGGTAATCTGGCAGGCCATGGAGGTGGGTGGCCCAGTGGGCAGGGCGGAGCAGGGACGGGGGTGGGGCGGTTTTGGGGCACTCGGTCTCTAAAAGGTTCGCCATCACTGTTACAGATTGTCACGGGAACTACTTTCATGCACATACGGTGGCAATATAAATATTGCAAACGAGAAAAATAAAATCTCTGAATACAGAGTAGGGAAATATTCTGTGATCAATTTATTCCAATTTTGTATTCTTCCTGAGGAAAATTGCAGAGAATATGTGGTAATAACGCTAATCCAGGCTTCAGCATAAAGTGCCCCTTTCCGATAAACAGACAAACTGAAGGACGGAATGCTGACCAGATTGTAGGGGGAAAATGCATTACTAGCTGAATTGAACCACATACTTATGCTGCTATTAGTCAAAATAAATTAAAACTAGTCAGACATTGTTTTTATCTTTCTTTCCCCCCAGTCTGTTCGTGTTGTCCAATGAGACAATCAATATCTGGAGTCATTTACTGGGCTTCTTTCTCTTCTTCACTTTGGGCATATATGACATGACTTCTGTGTTGCCTTCTGCGAAAGCTTCTAGAGAGGATTTTGTTATTTGTTCTATTTGTCTTTTTTGCTTTCAGGTAAGATCCTTTACATACGGCAACCAAACTTTGCAAGGAATGGGCATGTCAGAGGGGCTGATATAAAATAAATCTTGCATTCTCTTCCAAGATGAGGCTTTTTGCCTCATTTATTTTAATCAAAACGTTGTGTTAATTTACATCCTTTAATTGTAGATTGCATGGAACAATGTTATCTTATTCTGAAATCAAGGTAGCATTTCCAGTTGATCTTCTCCCTTCCTTCCTAGTCGGTGCACTTGTAATTTCATTAGGAATTTTAGCAGCTAGTAGAATTAGTTCATAAGTAATAGAATTTTAGGGGATCACGTAAATCCTAATTTGACTTGCTTTCCATTTTTCTGCTTAGTCTATTACTATTTCCCTATCGTCATTGCTAATTATTGCTAGCCTCCCTCTAGGATCCCCTTTTTACGAATGTAGTAGTGTAATAAATAAAAACAAATGTTTCCATCTCTTTTCATATTGTAAGCAGTTGAGTAAAGCCAGATATTTCTGCTGTGCTCATTTTATAATTTCAACTAGAAACGCACGAGCTCCGCAGAGTGCTGCATACTAAACCTTAAAAAAAAAAAAAAATCAATTGCTTAAAATTAATGTGAATTTGTTTCAATGTTCTTGTAGGTCTGTATGCTTTGCTCGGTAGGGTATCACCTCTTCTGCTGTCATCGCTCGGAAAAGACCAGTCGAAGATGGATGGCACTGGATTATGCAGGAATTTCGATTGGGATCCTGGGCTGTTATGTGTCAGGCGTTTTTTATGCATTTTACTGTAGTAATGTAAGTTGGGCATAATGCTAGCTGTTGTATACCTTAGATTCTGCTGGGATTGCTTTGTCTTCTCCCAAATAATTAAGTACATCTGAATGTTCATTTATTCAGAATTCCAGTCTGCAGTATAATCCATTAAAAGAAACTGATTCAAAATCCAATCTGCCATTCCATCTAAACAGACTTGAATTCCGAATAAACCTTTATTATTTCATTACAATTTCTCACGGTGCATGGATAACCTCTTATTGCACACTTAAGAGCCTTGCTTGCCTCAGTAATTTAACAAATGCAGCCAAGGATAATGCTGTTGTCTAAAAAATAGTGCATCTTTCATCTGGATCTTCAATATTAGCCCCATTGAGAATTTTAGATATATACAAGTCAGACTAAACTGGGAGGGAAGCTATGCACAAAAGCTCTGCTCATTTGGTTCCTCTGGGCCAACACCATTCCAGCCTTCATACGTTCAACATTGTGATTTTAGATAGTTTCTTCCACATGGCTGGGAAATGCATCCAGATCTTGGGAATCGCATGCCCAGTGCATCTGTAGCATTCCACTTTAGACAAAGTTGCTCTAAATAGCTTGAGCTGAACCTGCTTAAAAGAGTACACGCTTTCTTCTGATTGGCAACTCTCAATCCACAGAAACGTCTAAATGCATTCAGCAAAATATACAAGAGCAGGGAAAGATAGGGTGGCACATTGGTGCACATGCAGTCCCAGCTTCATCTTTTCAGATAAGGAAAAGCCTAAAGATATTTACCCATGTAGTAGGACTGTATTGATATTATCTTTCTCATCTTGTCTACTATCTTCTCTTATTGGTATCTATGATTTATCACTTGTTGTATATTATTATATTATATATTCTATTCTATTCTATATTCTATTCTATATTATTCTATTCTATTCTATTCCACTCCATTCCATTCCATTCCTAACAATTCTTATTCTATTCTATTCCAATCCATTCCACTCCATTCTATTCTATTCTATTCTATTCTATTCTATTCTATTCTATTCTATTCTATTCTACTATTCCTTATTCTTATTTATTCCACTCCACTCCATTCTATTCTATTCTATTCTTTCTACAAAGAAAAATACCAAAGTCAGCCTTTCTTAGCAGCAGGGACTAGTACTGTATAGCTGGAGCAGATTTTGAGAAAGCTGCTTCAGCATTCATGGCAGTCTCTCAAATAGACTAGCTCACTGTTGAGTAATTAAAACTGGAATACAAGCTGTTAAAATTATTCTGTCAATATCTGAATGTGCAAATGGTACCATAGCTGTTCCCCGTGTTTTGGAAAAGCAGCTTAAATAGATATTCCAGCATTGTCTGGAATTGCCACGTGAGTACTCAGGGTTCTTCACACAGACCTCTCCTCCCTTTTTCCCCCCTATTCTAGTACTGGCGTCAAGTGTACTTGATCACCGTGCTTGCTATGATCTTGGCAGTATTCTTTGCTCAGATTCACCCCAGTTACCTCACCCAGCAATGGCATCGACTGCGCTCGGCCATCTTCTGCTCTGTGTCAGGCTACGGAATTATTCCCACCATCCACTGGATTTGGCTCAATGGAGGTGTCACGGCATCTATTGTACAGGTAAATTTAGAAGTGACCTGCTTCGTTACATTTGCTCAAAAGATGTTTCTGTGGACCTTATGGAGGCCTTATTATTGATTGAGGACAATGCTTAGCGCTAGCCCAGGGGTAGGCAACCTTGGCTCTTTTATGAGTCCCAGAATTCCTGAACCAGCATGGCTCAGCTTGGAAACTCTCCCTTTCCCCTCAGCATGACTGGCTCAGGAATTCTGGGAGTTGAAGTCCACGAATCATAAAAGAGCCAAGGTTGCCTACCCCTGGCCTAGCCAGCCTTGGTTAATTTTGAAGACTAAACAGGGTTGACCTCAGTTAGTACAGTACTTGGATCCCACAGGACCATTTGGGATTTGGCTAAATTAGGAAATTGGGGGGGGGAATCTTGGAAAACCACAAAGGGAAGATACTTTCAAAATGCTGCCAATATACTGCATTTTGTTTGTTTGTTTATTTTGTACTTGTCCATTTCACTCAAGTAGTTCTGGGCAGCTTACAAAGTTAATGCTATTCCCCCCCCCCAAAAAAAAAAATAATATAACTACTAAAGTCATCAAAACATTTTAAAATACAAACTATTAAAAATGTAAAAAAAAATCAGTGGGAGAACATAATTTGTTTTCAGAACTACATTGATGCCATTTATCAGTTGAGCTGGGCACGAGGGCATTTTTATGATACCCAATTTCCTTTGGTTATCAGTTACAACTTCAAGCTTGAGGACATTCAGTATTTAAACTCGCTTTTCCATTTTTACAGCCTCATTCTTTTGCTTTGCATTGAAATTATGATATCTGGAGAACACGGGAATATTCACTTAACAAAGTTGTGAGTGAACACATTGGTTGTCAGAGTGCTACTGCAAAGCAATAGCCATTTCTTGAAAAAAAAGTCAAGTTCTTTTTCTCCTTTGAAAATGTTTTGTTTAGGGAAAGTCCAGTAAACTACATTGTTATGTACCCTGCATTTAATTCTTTGTTTTGAACGACATGCATAAAAAACCAGAAAATGAACTCGGTAGATTTTGCAAGTCACCCAGCTTTTTTAGTTTACAGTACTTGAAATCTGTTGAAAAGGATTACCATCTTCTTTCTCACGTGTCAGAGATCTGAAATCTGGATGCTTTCAGTGGCTACAGTTAATGTTTTATTTTCCTTTTTCAGGAATTCGCTCCCCGAGTGATTGTGATGTACTTAATAGCCGTCATAGCATTTCTCTTCTACATTTCCAAAGTCCCAGAAAGATATTTTCCAGGTAAAGATACTCCTGATGGTTTGCTAGCTGAATAAAAGGTGCACAGTAGACAACAGTTTTGTCTACTGTTGTGATCTTGTTTTAGAGTGAACATTAGAGGAAATATAGAAAACTCCCTGGTTGTGCACCTAAATTATAAAGTGTTGTATTTAAGGCAGGTGTTCCTTTAAATCTGCAGAGGCATTGGGCAGTATTCAGTGTTATGAGAATATTTAGCATGATATGCATCTTAACACACTATGCATTTCTATAACTTGAAAAAGAAAAATAGTATCAACATTGCTGCACATGATTTATTTAAGTATCTACCTAGTATCAAATTAAAAGACGCTTGCTCCTGGGGAGGAAAGCTATGACAAATCTAGACAGCATACTAAAAAGCAGAGACATCACCCTGCCAACAAAAGTGCGTATAGTCAAGGCCATGATTTTCCCAGTTGCAATGTACGGCTGTGAAAGATGGACCATAAGAAAGGCTGAGCGCCAAAGAATTGAGGCCTTGGAACTCTGGTACTGGAGAAGACTCCTGCAAGTCCCCTGGACTGCAAGGCAGTCAAACCGGTCAGTCCTAGAGGAGATCAACCCTGATTGCTCTTTAGAACGCCAGAGCCTGAAGTTGAAACTCAAGTACTTTGGCCACCTAATGAGGAGGAAGGACTCACTGGAGAAGGGCCTAATGCTGGGAAAGATGGAGGGCAATAGAAGAAGGGACGACAGAGAATGAGGTGGCTGGATGGAATCACTGAAGCAGCAGGCGTGAGCTTAAATGGACTCCAGCAGATGGTAGAGGACAGGAAGGCCTGGAGGAACATTGTCCATGGGGTCATGATGAGTCGGACACGACTTTGCAACTTGCAACAACAACAACAATTGACATTAATAGTAGCCAGCCAGACATATGTGGAAGCTCAAGAGCCAGACATAAGTGAGACGGTCCTTTCCTGACCCCAAAAATGCAATATTCTCTCACTCTCTGGGATGAAAAAAAAAACCCCTTCATTTCCAGATCAGCCGGAGAAAAACGTATTTGATATCTCTGCAGGCATCTTCGTCTGGATCAGTGGTTCTCAACCTTTCTAATGCCGCGACCCCATAATACAGTTCCCCATGTTGTGGTGACCCCCAACCACTTATACATCACCGGGTGCCAGGGGCGTGGCCAAAGAAAAGGGGGAAAAAATGGCGGACAGCCTTGTTTGGCAACCCCCGTGAAATGGTCATTCAACCCCAAATGGGGTCCCGACCCACAGGTTGAGAACCACTGGTCTGGGTGAACAAAAAGCACGTTCTTTATTCCCATTCTGATTAAAGTGATTTTCTCTTCTTCCACAGGACAGTTAAACTACCTCGGCTCCAGCCACCAACTCTGGCACATTCTTGCTGTGGTGATGTTGTATTGGTGGCACCAATCTACCATGTACATCATGCAGTACAGGCACAGCAAGCCTTGCCTGGATTAGAACAATGCATCCAAGGGCATCAAGGTAAATAGCATGTGCAATGTCAGAGAAGTGAAGATCTTCTAGCCTGTTCTAGGGTGGGGAATCTCACCACTTGCAATGAATTTGCTCTATTGGAGAGCAACTGCTCAACTCCTAGCCTGGAATTCTCCTTTGCAGGGAATCCCAGATCTATCAAATTACTTGTTTCAGTAGTCAGCGTGTTTCTCCTCTTGTCCTTCAATGTTTTCAATTCAGTATTACCCGTGCTGACTGGCAGCATCTCTCCTTCATTTCAGATTGATTTTTCTTTTTCCTGGCCTTGAAAGTGTGATCAGGAGAGTGACGCGTGGTTGTGGGGCTAGGCCAGGGGTAGGCAACCTTGGCTCTTTTATGACTCGTGGACTTCAGCTCCCAGAATTCCTGAGCCAGCCATGCTGAGGGGAAAGGGAGAGGTTTCCAAGCTGAGCCAAGCTGGCTCAGGAATTCTGGGAGTTGAAGTCCACAAGTCATAAAAGAGCCAAGGTTGCCTACCCCTGGGCTAGGCCAGGAGATACCCAGGTTCAGCTCCCCACATGATCATGGAGTTTGCTAGGGTCATTTAGGCTAAGGGTGTCCAATCTTGGCAACTTTTAAGACTTGTGGACTTCAACTCCCAGCATGGCTGTCGGGGGAATTCTGGGAATTGAAGTCCACGAGTCTTAAAAGTTTTCAAAGTTGAGGCTGTTCATTATCTTTTAGGCCAGCCTATTTCCCAGGGTGATTGGGAGGGTAAAAGCAGAGGAGAGGCGAGATATAAATATAGACAGAAAGCTTTTATGACACCTTTTCCTCTTGTAGGCCTTTTGTAAGTTTCTATTCATTAGGTTATATCCTGTCTATTCTTCAGGAACTCTATAGAATGTTCCCTTCTATTTTTTTTCCCCACAACCTGCCCCTCAGCCAGTGAAGTGACATAAGAGCTTCTTGGCTTAAGGGTGGGGTTGAACGTGCATTCTTCCATTCTTAACCATTCCTCCCAGGCCAGCTCTTCAAACGTCCCATTTCAAATTTAAAATTGATTCCATAAATTGTGTCCTAATCTTGTTGAACGTTTTGCAATTGCTGTAAGTCAAATGGACGCTGCAACAGTGTATCTCCATAAGGAGGAAATATTGATGCATTGCTGTTGTTGTTTTTTTTTAACCAGGAAGGATGATAAATGGGGGAATAGTAGATCCCTTTGTGTTTAAGCGGCAGCGTTTCTTTTTATTTTGTGAACCTGGAGATGGCAACCCTCCCCACCACTTGCTGGTTTAGGAAAGCTCTCTTAGCAGAAGTAGCTCACTGAGTTCTGCGTGCAATCATTTAAAATGTGTTTTGTGTTTGTTTGCAGAATTTCATCTTTGTACCGAAGTTTGGACATTGAATATCTGCATTTCAGGCTGATTTCTGGAGCAACAGCCACAGTTCATGTTGAATCCTCTTTCTTTTAGGAATAATATGTTAATAGGCACTCCTGATAATCATTTTTTTTTTAAATTTTTTATTTTTCCAAACTCTCCCCCATACATATACCGTGATATTTATCAGATGTTTGGCACTCCTGATATCATTGATCTCCATCAACTAACTATTTGTCCACTTTGGATGTTGAAAGAATTGCAGATAACTTGGTCATATAAACAACTTTTCTTTGAACTACTGATATATAAATTATAATAAAACTTGGATGTGGCGACTGTTTATGCTATCAACAAGAAAAATTCTCTGAAATGCATGCATACGAAGTTCTTGTGACATTTGCATGCTGGGATCTCACTTGAAAAATCCATGTTAACTGTATCTTTTTAATGTGATCTGTGTTGTTGCGCTGACGTTTCATTTGAAAACAAAATTCAAATATAATACAGATTTTTATTGGAGTTCCTTTTCCTTTCAATAAAAGAATCTCCATAGATTATTGCAAGGTAACTTTATCTTCAAACCAAGAGTTGGACCCATCAAGTCAATTTAGAGTTAAATTGTTTCTCAACTTGGGAACTTGTAGTCCATGGGTCAAACGTGTGACAAGGGTCAAAAGATTTTAGACTTGGCTACAAATTATTGCAAGTAAGGCTGTCCACAAATTTGATCTGCTTGCTACTACTTGGATAAGTGAAATTCTTCTGAGCCGTTCTTCAGGATAGTACCTGCTTAGTGCCAAACACAAAGTGTTTGCTTGGGCCTTGACAGCAGTTCCTGCTGCCCTGGAAATTTTGAAGAAAGAGGTAAATTCAGTCAATGCAGAAAAAATTAATATCTGCTAGCAGTGTGGCCATCCCAGGTTTTGAGATTCCAGCAGCCATGTCTTCAGACTCTAGTGCCAAAAAGGGATTTGCAGAGAAGAATGAGGAGGTAAGAGGCATTTACGTTACAGTCTGTTGGTAGCAAACGCTGGTATAGAATTGGGGAGGGACAGAAAAATAACAATGTGCAACAAAATAGTTAATAAAAATCTGCTTTAAAAATCCCCTCCAGAATTATAGTACTTCTCTCCTTGCCGGTAACTTCCCCCTTATTTTTTGATAATACTGTCTGATCTTGCCCTGGGAAGTTTCTAAGAACGTGTAATTCTAGCTTTAATGTGGCTTCTGCTAAGTGTTTGGAGAAACCTTTTTGTGTGCTTAACAAGGCTCTTCTCCGCAGTTCTTCCAATTTTGAAAATTGTGTCGTAATGCGTATTAACTTTCAGAGTACAGAGCCCATAAAACTAACATAATGGGAAAAAAATCTTGCTTATTTTCTCAGTGGGAAGCAGGGCAAGATTTTGGCTCGTACACACATACCAATCTCAGCCCTTAGGACACAAGGGAGAAAGCTGCCTTGTAGAACCTCCCAGTCTTACAGCTGTTGGACTTTAGCTGCCAGTGAAAGCTCTTCTAAGTCTGATAACTATTAGCAGTTTCCCTCAAGAGGTTATAATTGAAGAGGGTAAATTTAAGTCTTCCCACATATTACAATTCTGTTTCTCTAAACGCAGGGGTAGGCAACCTTGGCTCTTTTATGATTCGTGGACTTCAACTCCCAGAATTCCTGAGCCAGCCATGCTGAGGGGAAAGGGAGAGGTTTCCAAGCTGAGCCATGCTAGCTCAGGAATTCTGGGAGTTGAAGTCCACAAGTCATAAAAGAGCCAAGGTTGCCTACCTCAGGCCTAAGCCTAGGCCGCTTTATGGCTCGTGGACTTCAACTCCCAGAATTCCTGAGCCAGCCATGCTGAGGGGAAAGGGAGAGGTTTCCAAGCTGAGCCATGCTGGCTCAGGAATTCTGGGAGTTGAAGTCCACAAGTCATAAAAGAGCCAAGGTTGCCTACCTCAGGCCTAAGGCCGCTTTATGGCTCGTGGACTTCAACTCCCAGAATTCCTGAGCCAGCCATGCTGAGGGGAAAGGGAGAGGTTTCCAAGCTGAGCCATGCTGGCTCAGGAATTCTGGGAGTTGAAGTCCACAAGTCATAAAAGAGAAGGTTGCCTACCTCAGGCCTAAGCCTAGCTTTATGGCTCGTGGCTTCATCCCAGAATTCCTGAGCCAGCCATGCTGAGGGGAAAGGGAGAGGTTTCCAAGCTGAGCCATGCTGGCTCAGGAATTCTGGGAGTTGAAGTCCACAAGTCATAAAAGAGCCAAGGTTGCCTACCCCATGCTCTAGAGGTACTATTTGGTGCATGTTTTTTTTAAAAAAAGGCTTTATTGCTGAACAGGGATGAGACTGAGGTGGGGAATAGAAAGGAGTGGGAATGGACAGGTCTGAAAACCAGAGACTCACCCCTGAAAAACTAGAGCAGGGGTGTCCAAACTTGGCAACTTTTTGAGATTAGTGGACTTCAACTCACAGAATTCCTGGCAGGCTGGGGGATTCTGGTAGTTAAACTCCACATGTCTTAAAAATTTGATACGGTTGGACAGCCCTGCTATAGAGAGCATTATGGTCCTTGGAAGGCATCAGGTTTATCCATATGTATCGAATCTATTAATGCAGCTGGGTTTGTCCCAAGTATTTACAGTATGCACTGGAGCCTTCATTCAAGAGAAAAGGCCTGCAAGGTGCAAAATTCCCAGGGTTGAGAATGATCTAAAATGCTGAGCACCCAGGTTGTTCTAAAGCAAAAGAATAAAAACATGGACAGAATGCAAAGCATAAATTGTTCAATAAGTAGGCAGAATCAAGAGTTCGCTGTTGACCAGCGTAAAATGTCCTTTAAACACATTCATTTTGTTTTCCGCAAGATCAAACTTTGCTTTTGGTTTCCAGGCTTATCCTTTAAAAACTGGTATCGGGAGTTTGATGTGAATTATTGCCTTATAATTTAAACTGTTAGGTATTGAAAAACAGTAGAATTAATGGCTTTATTGTGGTTATTAATAGCGGCTCATGGCCCCTATAACCTCTTCCTATCATACCCTGTATGTGATAACAAGCTGAGTGTTTGCGCAATAGAGAACAAAACCTATAACTAATGCCAAGATGGAAGTGAACATCCTTAAAAGTAAATTGGGCTATCCAGGCAATATATTTTACATGGTTGAAAGCAGTTGCTTAGTTTGTTCGTGTAAGAGCATATTTTGTTACTACAAAGTTTTGTGCAATGTAGAGAAGCAAGACTATTCAATTCTATGTTTTTTTTAAAAAAATGAAAATCAAGTGAAAGTTCTTATGCGGAAAAAAATGTTTTAGAAAAAGTAGATATTAGACATAGTTAAAGGGGTTTCCAGAGCTGCCTTCAAGATGCACTTGTAGCAGCAGGCTCTTCAAATGAATGCCTCTTTTTCATTTAAGAAGCAGTTTTAAGTTAAAAGATCCTCCACAGACTTTTAATTTAACTGAAATTTAAAATGAAGACCATTACTACGGGTGCATTGCTAGAAGCAAATTTTAAAATTTGTGAAGCTTACTGAAAGAAATAAGAATTTCTGTATATATCCTTCTTCCTCCTTGCTTCTATAATTTTGATAATTTCAGTTCCGTAAGGAGGTTTTAAAGAAAAACTGGCAAATGATTTTTTTTTCTGCATAGACGGACTGAATTCCAGTGGTAACTCTCACTCTGTTGTTCTTATACTTTAAAGGCATTATGCTGCTCTCAAGTTTTTGGGACACTTTCAGAAAGCTAAATGCAACAAACAGCAATACCAGATGGCCACAAGTCCATAACTGCCCTAGGACTATCAGCAAAATTGATACGTGCCAAGATCTGCTGCAGAAGATGCAAGCATGGCTATAAGAAATCACCAGATACCTTTGGAAGAAACAAGGCCAATTTATGGTTTATCGTGAATGCAACCAACTCTTCTAACGGATTCCTCTCCATCTTTCTCCATCTCCTATGCCTTCCATTTGTTTCATGCTTTATTGTTGTTTTTTGCCTGAAACTAAAATGAAAGCTACAGCTTTATTTCAGATTTATGCCTCTAGCCTAGGACAGCCGTTAGAGAAATCTGTAGGAATCTTAACTGTACAATCACAGTTAATTGCAGGTGTCGTGGCATGTCATCACAGCTTTTGTTTTACTTCCATCATCTTTTAACATTTTTAACTGTACGAGAAAGTCATTAAAATTGTTTGCACTCGATCTATAAAGGCAATTTTATCAGGTTGCACTGTAGGTATTGTGTAAATAGCGCTTCAATAAATGGTTTGACAGAACATACGATTTGGTGTGCTGCATAGTAACAAATAATTGGGTAAGGGGGCCTGAAAAACTTACTATGGGGAAAGTTAGGGCTGTAAGTCTTGAGATACTCAGTAATCCTGCCGTTCCTTCGCATGCTCAAAAGCACATTGAAGAAAATCTTTAAATATTCTTGTGAGGTACTAGAAAATCCCAAGAGAATGATGTAAGAGCAGCTTTATGCCTCTTTAAGCATAAGTTATAAAGACAAGAATTATAATCAGAAAGCTATAGATCAGTGATGGCGAACCTTTTAGAGACCAAGTGCCCAAAAACTGGCCCTGTCCCCGCTCCACTCCTCTGCTCCGCCCCTGCTCTACCCCCCCATCCCCCGCCCCACCTGCCCACAGGACCACTCACCGCCTCCAGGGCCCGCCGCAGATCGCCCAGGCAGCCCAGCAGCGCTATGGCGGCCACACCCTCTGCCTGTGCCCTGCAGCATCAACTGCATGATGGGGTGTGAGGGCAGAGTCTTGCCTACGCTGCCTGGATGCCATGTCCTTGGCTGCGCTGCTCCGTGTGGGCCACGCTTGAGGGCGACTCTCCTTCAGGGGGGCTACTGGAGAGGAGGGCGTTGCGGGGGGAGGCAAGGCTGGGGGACTGGCACGTGTGCCCACAGAGAGGGCTCCGAGTGCCACCTCTGGTACCCATGCCATAGGTTCGCCACCACTGCTATAAATCAAACTAGTTTGAAACAACTAGCCATACTGTTGAGCAGGGGTCTTCAAACATGGCCCTTTCATGACTTGCGGACTTCAACTCCCAGAATTCCTCAGCCAGGCATGCGTGTCTGGCTGAGGAATTCTGGGAGTTGAAGTCCACAAGTCATGAATGGGCCACGTTTGAAGACCCCTGCTATTGAGGAAAAGCGAAACCTGTGCTGCCCTCAGAAAGCTCTGGGTCTTGATAAGTTGTGGCTTTGCCTCCCATACCATGTTAATACATAGAATGTTGAAGAGCACCAGTTCCTTAAGCCCATATGCCACCTTATAGGTTAATACGAGAATAATTTAGTCTTTGTGGTGGGCTAATCTACATTGTAAAAGGTTTGGCAGAAACCAAATGTTCCTTAGGACGCAGCTTAGTTCAACCAATTGCTGAGAAACTATTCAGCTCCTCTGTAGAATTGCTATCTTGCCCCAGTCAAACGACAGAGGTTCCAATTGCATAAAACTTTCCAGTCTCACAAAATAATTACTTCCCAGGTTTCCATGAGGAATGACAACTCGTACGACATTTTCAGAGACGCAGACAATTTGGCCGAAAGTCAGAACTACCAAAATAATTATTGCTCTATGACAGGGGTAGGCAACCTTGGCTCTTTTATGACTCGTGGACTTCAACTCCCAGAATTCCTGAGCCAGCATGGGGGAACTATGACCCCTTCATGACTTGTGGACTTCAACTCCCAGAATTCCTGAGCCAGCATGGCTCAGCTTGGAAACTCTCCCTTTCCCCTCAGCATGGCTGACTCAGGAATTCTGGGAGTTGAAGTCCACGAGTCATAAAGAGCCAAGGTTGCTCTATGAAGTACGGTAATGGGCATCCATGGATTCATAATTTAGCAAGTTAGGAGTTTTGCTCCAGAAAAATGTAACAAAAATACGTTTTGGTTTCACACAATTCTTCATATTTGGCCATCGCAAAGTAAGGGAAAAGCTTCCAGCATCTACCACAAGCCTCACAAAAGCCTCACCATCAAATGGACTGAAAAAAAATTCACCTAAATTCTTCAAGAGCTCAAAAGGGCAGGTTGAGTTACACCTCCTGATCTTTTCAAAATCCGCCCACCCCTGACTTAAAAAACATATTCTCTAATTGTTTGGCTTCCCCCCACCCACAAAGCACAAAAAAAGAAACACTCTTTTAAAATAGCTAGATAGCATTGAAATTTTGCTCGGATGTTATTAACACATCTTAGTAAACATGCTTTGAAAAAGGTACAGTAAGACTTTTATTATAACAGCTGGCATTGGATGGAACAAGATTAAGTTAAAAGGAGATGCAAAGGAGACCTTACACATTGGAAAAATCTTCATACAGTACTGGAATGACAAGTTTTACTCGTAGCACCCCAGCTCCGTTGCAAATTCACACAGTGGTTGGTGTTACAGAAACATCTGGTTGACTTTAACGACTGGAAGTTCTTTTACGTACATCATTTTTGCACAAAAAGATCTGTTATTAGTGGTTACCCATACACATACATGCACACATACACACCGCACAATGCTTTAGAAATTTCAAGTCTAACAAAAAAAAAAGAGAAAGAAGAAATGGAAGTGTAATTTTGAAAAGTGCACTTGGCGCTGTTTGCCAGCAAGTAGAATGTAACATTGTCGTTTTATTCTTAAGTGATGTTCTTATTCCAGAAACTTAACATTGGCAATGGTTTACAATATTTCTCTTCAAAGCGCTCTAGAAAAATAACCAGACACTGTTTTTGCATTTTCCTTATTATTCTTTTTTAGTAGCTTTTGGCTCCATTTCGTTTTCCAATGCCGAGAAAATGATTGTGACTGCAATGCTATATTTAAAATCACAGACTCCCAAGAGATAAAGCGATGTGTGCGTGTGTATGCTTTATATACATCTGTCTATAAAAATACACTATCATGTACAAAAATATTCTGATAAACTCTAATTGCTATTCTCACAGTAGTAGCTATCTCCTTTTATTCTCACAGTAGATTTTTTTTCTTCTTCTTCTTATCGTTAGGAGAAAACTTGAGGACTTCTGGGCAGCCCTGGGTGCTTGCTACTGAATTTTATTGTTGCAGGATCATCTCCAAAGAGTATATCTGGGTGGAACACACCAGGGAAGTAGCCTCGAATGGATATTTCAATCTACAAGATTTGTGGCGAGAGATTCAATCTCGGGTTACAAAGCTCAAAAGTTGTACCTTCTGAACACATTTAAGTAACAAATGCAGTCATATAAGGGGGTAAGTGATATTTCCCCTAAAGCACCTTGATTTCTATCTTTGACCCCCATAGATAGAAATTATACTTTCAAATTAAACATAAACAGTACCGTAATTTTATCAGTCAATTATTCTGTCCAAAGCTGTATAGCCTCCAGAATGAAGTGTACAGTTGATTAGGCTCAGATTTCCCTACCCCAGTGATGGCGAACCTTTTAGAGACTGAGTGCCCCAAAACCGCCCCACCCCGCAGCCCGTCCGTGCTCCGCCCCACCCCACCCGCCTGCAGGGCCACTCACCGCCTCCACGGCCCACTGCAGCAAATCGCCCAGGCGGCCTTGCAATGCCATGGCAGCCACGCCCTCCACCCACACCCCGCAGCATCATCTGCACGCGATGGGGCGCAAGGGTGGAGTCTTGTCCCTGCTGCTATGTCCTTGGCTGCGCTGCTCTGCGTGGGCCCTGCCTGGGGGAGACTCTCCTCTGGGGGGGCTGCTGGTGAGGAGGGGGCTGCAGAGAGAGGTGGGGCTGGGGCAATGGCGCATGTGCCCACAGAGAGGGCTCCAAGTGCCGCCTCTGGCAGGCGTGCCATAGGTTCGCCATCACTGCCCTATACAGTAACGAAAAGGTCTAATCATTTCATGAACATGGAAACTGGATAACCATTTCCAGTTCTGAATCAATACCTCTCAATCTTCTTATGACTGGAGGAAAGACCAAAACAGAGTGAACTTCAGATATATGGATAAATACATCCATCAAGCAAGCATGGCTATCCCAACCCCCCCCCAAAAGAAAATAAACACCTTTCTCAGTGAAGCACAGAATTCAATGATTAAACTTACTTGGGAAAGAAAATTAAGTAGAAATCAACTTTATGGGAACTACCAATAGCTCACCCAGTTCAGCCACCAAAGGCATACAACACACAAAAATCGGTGTACAAATCTCATTTACAATAATCTAGGAAATGAAATTCTTTTAAAACTCTGATTGATCAAAGGTGCAGAAAGCAAGAGCTTATTCAAAAGCAAAAAAAAAAGTTGGTGAAACTGCGAATGGCCGTGATTTACGCAAGGTTATCCTCAAGCCCAATCCTGCAGAGTATGATATATATTTCTTTTATCTCACCTGTTCATCCATATCTACCAATTATACAGCTGGAGCCACGTAGGTGTACCCCAAAGTTCTCCGATGGAAAATCTGTCCTAGCAATCAGAGATGATGGCCAAGACAACTTTATGCATTTTCTAGCCCAGATCAGTTTTGGGAAGAATTATCTGAGAAATATGTATAAACAGATGCAAATCACAAAGTTGTGCTATTTCATCTCTTCCCATCCCGAAATAGATTGGTGCCATTTTTGGTCATTAAGAACAGGAATTCATACATCCATATAGTGTTAAGTTCATATGCCCATACAAATGCACAGAATAAAACTAACGATAACTGCTACAAATGATATCCTTCTGGCAAATCAAAGCCACAATTTAGGATCCTGAAGACAGAAAAGGGAGTGACCCAATTATTCTAAATGTCCTTTCTCAGGGCAAATATATCATCATCATCATCTTAACTGCTTACTAGAAAGAACTTACAGCAATCTGATTTCATCAGGATTTTTCTGATAAAAAGGGTTTGGGTGGAGATATAGAAAAAAAATCAGCTGTCAGGTGTAATCACGCAGATAACATTGTGAGGCAAAAAAAAAAATACATTATCAAACTAATTAGGCATATTAGCTGCAAATTACTTTTTGCCCCATTAATTTTAGTAAGTGTCAGCATGGCAACTTTGGGGTGAGGAATCCAAATTACTCCGTGCCTTTTATACCACCTGAAGCACATACATCTTTTCAAATAAAATGAGGTTATCACACGGAAACCCTAATTCAAATCAGCTCTCCGTTCATTCTGGGACTCCAACCCATACTGACAGGTCTCCTACACAGAAAGCCTTCCAATGTGAAAACCAAACACAGTACATTTAATTAGCAGGTCCTTAATGACTTGATTTTGGACAGCTTATAACCCGTTCTTGCTAGGAAGTCTGCCATGATTGAAGTGAGAGCTATTTGGAAAGAGAGTTATTTTACAACACACCTTACATCTGAGGCTTTGGCACAAAGGAACAAGTCTTCTGAGAAATATTTTACACAATATTTTGTGTAGCGAGACAGACTTCTAATTTTGGGGGGGGGCTTTCGATTTCATATCGTGCAAAGAGATGGACTGCACATTTAGAAGCAAATTTAGCAAGAACTTAAAAGTATATCTTTTAAGAATGACTAAATAACTACATTTTTTTTAAAAAAAGCAACAACTTTGAAGTATGGTTAGGGCTCTTGAACTTTTATCTTTTCATATTTATTATATTCGAAAATTATCCAAAAGTTACTCTATTTTCTTCATGTTTTAATACAGTAACTGGATGGCAAACTTCATCCAATGCTTCCCCCTTGGAAATCTTTTTTTTTTTTCACAATGATATTCAAACTATGTAAATGATACCCAGACACATCTATAGTTAAGTTCATGTAGCTTCTACAGTTGAAATTCATATATGTGAGAATACCTATGCAAGGATCCTGAGATGTCAATCTTCATCCACTTAATGACAGAAATGGTTTTTGAAACGTTTCACTTTTTAAGAATGGATTGCTGTTCGTCGTGGGAGAAAACATCAACTTCTGCTATATGTTTAACATATCTGATTCATGCACACACACACACACACACACACACACACACACACACACACACACACCTGTACTCCAAAAAGATACTGTCATGTTCTCTGGATCCTGGCCATTCTTTGTGACAAAACTGTTTACTATGTCCTTTTTTCAAAGACACCCATTTTCACAAAACTGAAAGGGAATTGCAGGACATCAAATTGCTATTTTGAACAAACATCGCCGTTCTAGAACGATCAACAGCGAATGACGACATTCGGAATTCCTTTCCTCCGACTGAAAGTTCAAAAATGTACTGTCTACTCACCTAAGTTTTCCAAATGTTACAATCTGTGTCTCAAGGGCACCACTTGGCTCAGAGGTAAACTTATATCAGGACGTGGTCCTGGCTGTAAGGCATTGCTGGTTTTACTATGCAGTTAATGGTAAGAGACTCAAAACAGCATCATTTTCAAGCCTTCAATTCTAAACCTCCTTTTTGTTGGAAACGGATCGGTGTGTTTTGTAATAAAGTCTTAGAAAAGTACGATCATGTGATACAGAAAGCATTCAAAAAATTAGGTGAGAACCATTTTAGAAGGCTAAAAACCTTTCGGGGTATATCCAGTTCATATGAAATACAAAACCCCTGTAAAGTGAGCAGACACGGGGTGAAAACTCTGATTGAACTCTTTTTTAAGAGGTCTGAATTTGCTACAATTTTCTGGCTGTTTCCCCCCTCCTTCTCCAAAACGGTACGTGTTGGTATGGCATGCAAGTCAACCACGCTCTCTCTTCTCAAATGAGCAATCTTCAAAAGTGCTGCAGAAGTTAACTGTTAGTGCTGATGCTTTCTCATTCCATTCCCACTTCCAACATCCCCAGCTAAGTTCTCGAAAGTCTAAGAATTACAACAATCCCTGTTTCGTATTAATGGCACTTACTGTGAAAAAGCACAGTTCAGGCAGATAGAAAGATTTGGGTTTCTTCATATACGTTTAGGAACCACTATCAAGAGAGCAAGCTCTGATTTTCAGAGATTTAAGAAGAGGGTGGTTTTTTTTTTTTTCTTTCTAAAAACCTTTAGAAGAGGTACAAAGAAGCAGTTCTAGATAAACCTGGTTTTTTTTTTTTAGATGTTTTCTCGATTTCTGACGGATAAGATCCTATTTCATTTCGTCGACCCAGTCTGATCCTTCCATCTCTCCATTAATTCAAGTGTAATTGCCCTCTACGCAGGATGCAATTCTGAATGTTCTAGTCCAGTGTTTCTCAACCTTGACAATTTTAAGGCATGTGGACTTCAACTCCCAGAATTCCACAGCCAGCAATGCTGGCTGTGGAATTCTGGGAGTTGCAGTCCACGTGCCTTAAAATTGTCAAGGTTGAGAAACACTATACTAGTCATAGCCAATATCCTCTGTGATCTTCTGACCTAACTTTCGGAAAGATTTTCTCTATTCAAACTTTCGCCATTTTATTCATCCCAATCTTGCCTCTTTTAACACTGCCGATGTTAAAAATCTCGTTGCAGCAGAGTAGTAAGCGTGTTGTACTTTAAAAACCAAAAAATAAAACATTTCCTTCTCAATCGAAGGAAATGGATTTACAGTGGCGTATTAAATCCAAGTTTTAAAAAAAGAAATATTCAGAGGTTCCTAAAAAGAGTCTATTGTTTGGAAGGAAAGGGAGCTGCCCCAAATGGATCTAACTCTATTGCCTGTTGCTGCTGGCTCTGCTGAGACGTCACACTTGGCATGAATTCGGTGAAAGGAACCGCTCCAAAATCATCCGTTAATTTTACACCGTCGCCGGAATGAAGGCTACCAAGAAAGGAACTCTGCCTGGGTCTCCCGGGCGCTGCTGTGTTGTGATCCCCACGATTATCACCCAATCCCTGGTGTTGGGGGGGACGCAGCCCTTCTGCTGGATGGAAAGGCTTGGCTCCAAAGGGATCCAGGAGGTTATCATCACCCGGCAGGGGATTGACTCTCTCCTTGCTATCCGACAGGGCAATACTGATGTTTTCCTTGGAATCGGAAATGGTCAGAAACTCGTTGCTGCTTTGGGAATCTCGGCGGCCGGCTTTCTTGTGCCGTCGGGCTCTCTCTGGCGTCCGATAGCTGGGCTTCAAGTTCTTCTTGGTGCTGGTGGGGGTTCCGTGATGGCGCTTGCCGTTGCTCTTCGACCCCTCCTGCTTCATGCGCCTCTGACGGGAAGAGAGCTTCTGCAGATTCCGCTGTTGCTGCTTCGCTTTGTGTTGCTGCTGGCTCCCGGTGATCTCCTCAAACGGGACCAGGCCGAAGAGATCCTCTCTGGTTTCACCAGGCCTTTGGAGGGAAACGGGCTGGAATGGGAGGCAGCCAAAAACATCCACGCTTTTGGGGGAGACGGGAGACGCTTGAGGTTCGGAACCTGAAACCGACTCATCTTGCTGAGATATTCTTCTGCTGAAGGGGGCTTTGGTAAAGACATCGAAGTCATCCTGGTCTGGCTCACGGGGGACAACTTGAGGAGAAGTATCTTTTTGTTCTTGGGGATGCAAAACGAAGAATGGAACTGCTCCAAAGACATCAAATTCTTGTTTGGGGCTCAGACTGGAAGCTGGGACCTCCGTCGATGAAGGACAGGGAAGGATTGTCTCTCTACTTTCTGTACTACCAGGCCCTTCTCTGTATCTACTGCAAGGTACTTCTTCTGCAGGCCGGAAATGGTTAGAATCAGAGTCAGAACTGTGCTTATCGTCCTCTTCTCCATCTTCTTCAGAATCCATCAGAAGGGGATGCTGGCCTAGGTTTTCTGGTTCTGTATCGTTGTCGTCAATGAAGTCTCCAGACTCAGCCTGCAAGACCTCTTCATCCTCCTGCTCTTCCTCTTCCTCACTACTCTTTGGAGAAGGGGGATCCGATTCAAAATCGCTCTCCGATTCATTGTTTCCTTTCTTAGTTTGTGCTTCCGTGCCCTTCTTTCCAGCATCCTGGTCCTTAACAACCTGGCTTGGCCTTTCATACTTAGAAAGACTCTCTAATGTATTTTCTAGATGGCTGGCTGGGTTATTAATTTCATTTCCTGGGGGGCCTGAAAGGATGAAGAACAAGCAAAAGAACTTCAATTTCAAATCAACGTTTCCCACTTCCACAAACACACACACATAATTCTTTTACGTTATACAATTGGAGAAGCTATGATTCTTAGACTCACAAAAAGCAGACACTAGACCAGTGTTTCTCAACCTTGACCATTTTAAGGCATGTGGAGTTCAACTCCCAGAATTCCACAGCCAGCAATGCTGGCTGTGGAATTCTGGGAGTTGAAGTCCACATGCCTTAAAATGGTCAAGGTTGAGAAACACTGCACTAGACCCTTAAAGGGGAAAAAAATGACCCTTAAAGGGGAAAAAGGGGGGGGGGGAAATGGCGGACTGTGTTGTTTGGCAACCCCCGTGAAATGGTCCTTCGACCCCAAATGGGGTCCCGACCCACAGGTTGAGAACCACTGATATACAGTAAGTTGTACTGTTTTGAAAGGAAACGTACTGCAGTACTTAATTATGGCTGGAATGCCATTCCTGATCAGATGCTTATTTAGAAATGCTTCTAATGATTGAATGAACGTTTTTTCCCAGTTTGGATTGTCCCACGTCCCAGCGCCATTTATTTTCACCCATTGAATATTAAACAGTCTGAAGCTTACATTTCCTTCCAGACGTGTTTCACTCTCTAGTCCAGGGGTAGGGAACCTTGGTTCTTTTATGACTTGTGGACTTCAACTCCCAGAATTCCTGAGTCAGGGATTCTGGGTATTGAAGTCCACAAGTCATAAAAGAGCCAAGGTTCCCTACCTCTGCTCTAGTCGTTTTGTCCATTCCATAGTCTTTTCTGTCCTAAAAACACACTCCTTTTGAGCTGAATGGAGTTTGGCATGCAGTATGTATAAACAATGTAATTGTTTATCAAGAATTCCCAGGATGGTTCGTAGGATTTAATGCAGTGGTTCTCAACCTTTTTAATGCCACGACCCCCAACTGGTCGTAGAGGACGACTCAACCAGTTGTAAGTCGAGGACTACTCAACTGGTGCAGCACCGTTTGCAGAATGGGACTTTTGGCGGGCTCAGCAGGGCAGAGACAGCCTGGACAATTCCTATTGGTTTTTGAAAGCCAATGGAATTAGATTCTATTCAAGCGAGTCTATTCTATTGGCTTTCAAAAGCCAATAGAATAAAAGGGAGTAGCACAGCTAAGGAAAAGGGGGAAAAAATGGTGGACTGTGTTGTTTGGCGACCCCCATGAAATGGTCGTTCGACCCCGAATGGGGTCCTGACCCACAGGTTGAGAACCACTGATTTAATGCCTAGCAAACACATTTCACATTTCACCTAAATCTTTACATAATAAAAGGTATCCCTTTGTTAATCAACTTTATGTGCCCTCTTAAGATTCCCACAAAGTATACCAGACTGATATTTTCACTTGAATTAACTATGATTTTTTTCCCTAGGGTATTAGTGACCAATTTAGTTTGGATCAGTTTACATGTGAAGCTAGCATTATTTATCCCAACACATATCGGAGACACTTTTTGTTTCATTTCATTCACCAAGCTGTTCTTAAGAAGAAATTGTTTTCCTTACAAAGTGGGAAACTGTATCTTTGTATTTAAACCGTACTTCCCAGTTATTGGTTTCCTATAAACCAGTGTTTCCCAAACGTGACAATTTTAAGGCTTGAGGACTTCAACTCCCAGAATTCCACAGCCAAAAACGCTGGCTGTGGAATTCTGGGAGTTGAAGTCCACATGCCTTAAAATTGTCAAGTTTGGGAAACACTGCTATAAACAAACCTTTGGATTCACTATCGTGATTGTTTTTTGAGTCTAAAGAGCAACAGATTACTACATCTGGACCCATCTACTGATCAAATCTATAACTAGTCTTTCACAAGGCCACTGTAGCAAAGGAGACATAAGGCATCTATTCTTACTTTTTCCTTCTGTAGTACACCCATTAGATTTCAAATCTCTGAGACAAAACCAGCCTTTTACTCTCTGCACAACATTTAGAACTGTTTTTGTTCTCTAAGTGTTAAATGATCATTACTGATTATTTTTGTTGCATCCAATATTTTATCACCATTTTGATTTTCTATCCATGGTTTTCTAAGATTGGTACCCAAGTGTACCATAGAAATATCAAACATATGTATAGTATGTGTTTAACCCTTAGCTACTGCCTTTGGTGTGGTTACAGCCTGCCTTAGTCATGCCTGTAAGTCACTGATCAATCATCAATGCAAAATATTTTAACCATTCATTTTTCGTTCTTCGGCCTTCCCATTCGTTTTCCTTTTTTTTTTTTTTTTGCACACAATATTGCATATTTTTTAAGCCTGCTCTTTGTAATGTGCTATTAGGAGAGCCTTATAAAACGAAAGAGCAAGAAAAAAATATTGTTCATAAAATATTCAAGAATGGGATTCAAATTCACTCCACCCAGTAACTGATCAAGGAAATGTGTTTTTTAATCAAGGGTTGTTCAGAAAAAAAGCATATTTCTACTAGTTTCCCCTTTCTGCTAAGACTGTACTGCTTTACATTAAAAGGAAAAAAAAATCCCCCTCTACAATATTAGAGTTATTTTATGTAAACTAGAACTTAGTTTCTTTCGCCTCCATAATAGGTATTATGACATTTGCTGAGAACAAATTAATACTAATGTATTTTACCACAAAAAATTGTCCTTTACCAATATTCAAAGGAGGAAGTAATTAGCAAACAGGAGGGAAGGGGTAGGCTGCAATAGTAATAATTCAGTCCTACAAATATAGTTATAAAAATAATTCAAAGGGGGGAAAAACCAACAATTTTTTTTAAAAAGGAGAAAATAAGCATCTCTTTTCAGGCATAATACTATAATAGGTTGTGCTACATTTAAGACATTGGATTTTATAGTCAAATTAATATGTAGATTTGCTTTCTTGATATGATGCAGTTTCCCCAAAGTAACAGTCATAGTGAAGAACTTTTAGAAATCTCTTTCAATGTACCCTTATATGCTAAAATTACTTATAGAGATTATTATTCTTTCAATTAAAAACTTTTTAAATGAGCCTAATTATTTCTATTTAAACACCAACTTTAAAACTGTCGGTAATACGGGCATATTTCTACTTGTATAACTGAAAACAGCTAAATTCATATATATAAATGCTTATCTTAAAAGATGACGTATTTTCCCTTTATACCAGGAAGATAATTTGTTACATGTAAAATTTGTTTGGTTGAGATAACATATGAATCAGGTAACTCATAAATTACTCTAAAACTACTTTTCTGTTTTGAGCATTTGATTGACAGGGGGAAAAAACAGAGTTAAATCCAAATGAATCCAGATATTAACTCAACAGTAGTTCTAGCATAATGCTACTTTAAATATATGAGCACAAGAGGTACTAAATCTATATCTTAACCCAATTCAACTTCCTGTCAACACCCCCCCACCCACTTTTAATATTCTTACATTCACCAGAAGCCCAAGAGAGAGAAATTTCAAGTTCACTTTTAAATTAATGCCATAATAATGTTGTAATATGCAACATGTAGAAAAAGATTTGATTGAAGTAATCTCAAAACTGCTCCAGTGGACATTTCAAATCTGAATTTATGAACAGCTAAGAACTGGGCAGCGTAACATCTGTTCGGAAGAAAATGTACAGATTATATCACTCCTAATCAGATTTGGCTCTTGTACCAGGCTGTAATTCTGTCTCCAAATCCAATGCAGGTAGAACATCTTTTAATCATAAGATCCCAATCTTCAAAAAAAAAAAGAAAGAAAGAAAGAAAAAAGAATTCTGTTCCTGTGTTCATTTTCTAGACATCCGATTATAAGAGGATGAATGGCTTGTAACAACTGGAGTAATTACATGCCTTCTGCTAGTTCGTCATTTCCAAAACTGGGCATAACCATTTTAAAGCTCCTCCTGAATTGGGAACATACTGCTGTCATCGTTCCACAGCAATCTGGATTGCAAAGATGTCAACTAACTCTGCAGTTTTCTTCAACAACAGGCAGAAAGGCAGATGCTGAACAATGTCGGAGATTTAGTGAGTCTGCTTACTGTTTTTAACTTAAGGGACAGCCAAACTGCATTTCCTTCATTCTACACATCCACTTCCTTTATACTTGTTACAATATTTACCCTGTGGCAGTGATGGCGAGCCTAGGGCAAGCGTGCCAGAGGTGGCACTCAGAGCCCTCTCTGTGGTACCATCTGCCACCACCACCGCCAGCTCGCGCAGGTCCATTAGGCCACCGCTGGTGCCCGGAGTGGCAGCCCCACCCAGCACAAAGGAAGTGAAGCAGCTGGCTAGCAAACTCAAGTAGAGGTGGTAGAGCAGGCCCCCATGCGCTCACTGGCCTCTGTGTGCGGGGGCCGATGGTGTCAGGCAACAGCCGCCACTGCCTCGCCTTGCCCTGCAGCAATGGCACCCCTGCCCTACCCCCCCACAGGATGAGCCTCCTGTCCATTGCCCCACCCACAAAAGACCCCCCGGATCTCCCCCATCCTGTCCAGCCCCCACAGGTGTCCCCCCCCACGAGCAATATCAAGGTGGCCATGCCCACTCCAGCCACCCCCATTCAGTCTGCTGTGACCACCGCAGCCATGCCCACCAGTGGGCCACGCCCCTGCCTCCCCTGAGGGCACCAAAATGCTGATGAGGCCCTGGCACTTTGTGATAAATAAGTGGGTTTTGGGTTGCAGTTTGGGCACTCGGTCTCTAAAAGGTTTGCCATCACTGGCCTATGGAATCTTTTCAATTCTGTGCTCTCAATCCCAATTACCTGTTAATCATCAAGGAGAAAACATTTTTGAAAATATTGTATCTTTTTTTTAAACAAGGAATGGACTTCAAATGGCAAATCTATAGACAGGTAGTCCTCAACGTATGACCGCAACTGAACCCAAAATTTATGTGGCTACGTGACACAATACAGTTTGCCCCATTTGACAACCTTTCTTCTGCACTTGTTAAGTGAATCATTGTGGGTGTTAAGTTAGTAACACGGGTGTTAAGTCAGTCTGGCTCCCCCCCCTTTGACTTTGCTTGTCAGAAGGTTGCAAAAGGGGGTCGCGTGACCCCTGGGGACGCTGCAACCGTCATAAATACGAACCATTTGCCAAGCATTCGAATTTGGATCATGTGACCATGTGAAAAACATCTAAGTTACTTTTTTCAGTGATGTTGTAACTTCAAATGGTCACTAAATGAATTGTTGTTAAGTCAAGGATTACCTGTATTAGGCCCTGGTATTTATTTCAAGCATTTCAAACCTGCCTTTAAAGGAAAAATCCCTCTCAGGATGAACTCTATATAGAATAATAAACAATAATCCCCAATTTATGTATAAGGATCTTTGGCTTAAACCATTGTGTCCAGCTGTGGACCGCAGACCAATTAGTAATGCGGCCCCACGAGATCATAAAACATATTTCAAAAAAGGAACTCTGTTAATTCCTCCTCACTCAATGAACGTCCTGACAAGCTAAAAGATTGGACAACCATGTCTTAAACTACATATGTTCTCCAGTAGGCTTTTGATTGTATTTAACTACTCCTCAATTACTAAATGGCTCATTAGGGTAGTGTCAGAACCCATTTCTATTTCATTTCTATTTATCTCCTCTGAGCTAAAAACAAATCTCACTTTTCCCTGGGTTCTGCCATACTCCCAAGGGGGAGGGTGGATATGCCTCTGGGGTTATTGCTTTCCGCTTCCTCTATTCGCTACAATGTAACTTTTTGTTTTGTTTATTGCCTTTGTGTTCGCTGCCCGCTACAGTGTAACAATTTGCTTCCTACACTGTATCTCTCTCTGAACTTTCTTCTCCCTAACCTGTTAGCTAAGAAAAGGGGGAGGGGGAGAAAGAAATACAACCTCCGGAGCCTGGCTTATTTCTCCGGTCTCAAAAGGAGGTGTGAAGATGCTACGACCGGAGCTGGACCAATGTTATCTCCCCTTTCCCACGATGGACTTAACACCTGGGGATTGGCCAGTCTGAACCGTCCGGATGAACTGTGGGGTGGGATTTGCTTAGGGACACTTTAAAGTATCAGTCTGTAAAGGAATCCCTCAGATCCTGTCTATTATGTCTGCTATCAACTGCTTTTAATAAAAGTTCCTGTTGGAGGAAACCCTCTCCAAGAGTTCTGCTTTCTTAAGATGTGGGATTGAAGTGGGTCCTTACAGGTAGATATTACTAGCCAAGCATTATGAAACAAGAGTTCAGAGGCTTGAAGTCCCAATTTCAAACCAGGAAGAGAGGCTTTTTTAGGCACATTCCCAATCGTTAACTTTTTAAAAAGAAAACAGCAAGGTTTTTTTTTTTTTTCCAATTTTCTCAGTGCCTGGTAGTAATCTTCAGGAATGGGGGGGGGGGAGATAGTTAGTCAGAGGAAGTAGATTCTGTCCTGGGTTACATTTTGTTGATTAATGGACTTCTATTGGAAATAATTAAACAATGTTTGAATTTGTAAGCTTACTGTGAAGACATATAAACTTTAGTCCTAATTCATAAGCCACATATTTTCAAGGTAGGTCTATAGAAAGTAATTAAGTTAATATCTGGAAGAAGCGTTCATGATATTTTTTATGAGGTTGTGCAAGATTTCCATATAATATAAAACCTCATTCTACCATCGTTGTGTTCGTGAATGAAGAAAGATCTCCTTTGTTCAACTTGTCCTAGTCAGCTTATGTAAATCCCCTGCTTCTAAACTTGTTTTTCAAGGAAAATGAATTCTGTACTTTCTTCAAACTCCCATCTTACAGAAGAGGGCAGTATCTCCCCATCCACAAGATAAGAAAAACAGGTTGAAAAAATTGGGGGTTTGATTAATTAGAGGGGATTTTATATTGTCAATTAGAGGGTTAAAAGGAGATGTTGAGATAAGGGGAATTTTGGTTATTAGACTCAAAATAGTCGGAAATTAGTGGAAAATAAGGATTTGATTTGTTTAATATTAAAAAATCAGACTTAAAAGGGAAATGAAAATTAATTATCAGGAATATGTTTGATTTATTGATTAACCCCAGCAATATATATAATGGCTTTGATCTATCTAAGGAGGTATTTTATTATTTAGATGATTTATTATGATGGGAAATAGAAAATTTTTAGGAACTAGAACAGTGGTTCTCAACCTGTGGGTCGGGACCCCATTTGGGGTCGAATGACCATTTCACGGGGGTCGCCAAACAAGGCTGTCCGCCATTTTTTTCCCCTTTTCTTTGGGCACACCCCTGGCACCCGGTGATGTATAAGTGGTTTGGGGTCACCACAACATGGGGAACTGTATTATGGGGTCACGGCATTAGAAAAGTTGAGAACCACTGAACTAGAATAAGATTACATTTAAATAAGTAAAATGTGTATTTTGGATATTACAGTTTGCTATGAAATGAGATAAGGGAAACTTTGGTTACCCAAAGTTTGAAAATTATGGATATAAAAGGTTAATTGGAATATTGATGAGAAACTAAAAATTAGGTAAAAATTTATGATATGGGGTATTTTATGAACACTAATTAAGATATGTATAAGCTAAAAATGTATTGATAAATGTAATAATGATGTTTTCATTGAGTTGATACAGTTAGAAATATACTAGCTTGAATATGGAATAGTAAATGTTAAGGGAAAAAGAGAAGAAATATTTGATAATGTAACCTAAGATTTGTACTTAAGATTTTGTTATTGAATTATTGATTAATCCCGCCACCACGTTGCTTTTTAAACACTCAAATGTAAAATTGGAAAATCAATAAAATATTATTTAAAAAAAAGAAAAACATGTTTGAAAGGCATCAGTGGCAAGTTTCTTCTTAGAGACAGCTATTTCCTCAAACTGTAGATCAGCAAGGACCATGTATAGGTAGTCCTCAACTTACAACAGTTCATTTAGTGACTGTTCAAAGTTACAACGGCACTGAAAAAAGTGACATAATCGTTTTTTCACGTTTACACCCATAGCAGCATCCCTGGGATCACGTGATCAAAATTCAGACGCTTGGAAAATGACTCGTATTTATGACGTGATCACCTTTTGTGACCTTCTGACAAACCAAGTCCCTGGGGAAGTCAGATTCGCTTAGCAACTGTGTTACTAATTCAACAACTGCACTGATTCACTTAACCACCGTGGCAAGCAAAGTTGTAAAACGGGGCAAAGCTCACTTAACGGTCTCGCTTAGCAACAGAAATGTTGGGCTCAGATGTGGTCGTTAAGTCAAGGACTACCTGCGATTTTAAGAATGATATTGCATTTGATAAATTGTTGTTGTGCTGTGATTTTTAGATTTATTTTCTTTCTTTTTCTCTTTTATTCTTCTTTTTTTATAAAGAGTAAAAAATATTCAAGAAAAAGCACAGCTAGTCCTTGTTTAGCGATCACAATTGGGACAGGCACCAGGCCGCGGTATGCCGGAAACCGGGCCGCACAAACAAGCAAAGCCCCATCCGCGAGATACAGGCAGCACACAAAACCACACCCCTCCGCTCCGCGGAAAAACCTCTCTCCACGGAACCGGTCCCTGGTGCCCCAAAGGTTAGGAACCTTTTGATTAGAAGTCCACCAAGGTTCCTTCCAGTCCTATGATTGTATAAGTAAATAGCTAATTAACTTAAACAAAGCCACTAAATGGCAACCCACCAATACAGTCACCTCTTCATTTTACCATGCTATACAGCAGGGGTCCCCAACCCCCGGTCTGTGGACCGGCACCAGGCTGCGGCATACCAGCAACCAGTCCACACAAACAAAGCCCCATCCACAGGATGCTGGCAGCATGTGAAATCACGCCCCCCTCCGGTCCGCGGAAAAACCTCTCTCCATGGAACCGGTCCCTGGTGCCCAAAAGTTTGGGGGACCACTGCTCTAATTGATCACAGGGAAGAAGTTATACCATTGAACCAGTCCAATTGCCTTGCTGCCAAGGTATATTTACATGAAAATAAGTCATGGTATATACTATGTGACTTGCCTGCATGAGAAAGGAAAGGAACAGAACCAAAGGCATCTTCTGAAGGATGGCTGAGTGGAGCAGAATGTGACTCCACTGGTTTATCTAAGGAAGTTCTCCTCTCCACCAGCCTGTCTGCAAAAATAAAAACGAAACAAAAACAAAAACAAAAGTAAAACAAAAATGGCAACTTTTAACCCAATTAAAGATGTATTTAATACACGTTCTTCTCATTCATGGATATAATATCCAAAAGTTCTTCCTGCAATCCTTCTGAGATAAATTGCAGAAGCGTACCAAACAGATAGGGAAAAAAAGAAGACCTCAGTTTTAACCCAAACATTTAGTTGAACTAGGGGACAAATTTAATTATTCCTTCCCAAAACTGTCCAAAATTTAATAAATATCCAAGCCATGGAGACCTCACAAAGTGTACAGCAGCCACAAGAGAACATGCATTAATAAAAGGGTAAAGAAATTCAAGAAATCAAAATAACGGTTGTTTAATTTCTGAGTTTTTCCAGGATTGCTTATATTAATCGGGTTCAAATGCTTTAAAGACTAGTTCTGCATGAAAAGACAATTGTTATTTCATACTAATTCAGAGTTCTGTAGTGTTTCATGTTTTATAATGGCTTAACCCTTTCATCATTCTACTGCAGAACTGTTCTCTGTTCTAGCAATGCAGAAGAAACATCTGTCAAAATTAAATATAAAGCACATGCAAACTGCATGCTTACAGCAGCTGTTTAGCGATAGAAAGACTATGCAATTTATCATATATATGAAAGCTGCATTGCATCTGCTCTTCAACTCTTTTTTCCAGAAATCTATATAATTTTTGAAATAAGACGTTTTTAACAGTGCAGTACAGTTCTGTTCCACTTAAGAATTTTTTTTGCGTAAAGCTACCGAGAACAGCATATTCCACTTTGCTCCCCAAAAGCTATTTTTAAGGCTTAATTTCAGCATGTGCAAACTGCCTCAGCCTATTGTCTCAGCCTGGCCATTTCTCAAATCATTTTTCAGAAGAGCCCAAATGTGAGAATTTCTTTCCTATGTACAGTAGTGGCCAAAATTGTGGAAACTTTTTGGGAGAAGTGTACAGTAGAAATGCCACCTTTGGTTAAGTTTCCACCCATTTTTCTTCTAATTTCTTTATAACGGTAGCCTTGTTCACTTAATAATACTATTTTACATCGCTTTCTGGGCGACCAGTCAACTCTTTGCACCATTACTTTAATTTTATTATGTTTTACAAGCTCACTAAATGAAAGAACACCAAAAAAACCAACCAACTTGATAGCAATCACGTAACACACTGACCAATGTCCTCCTCTCAGCTTCAATACACGACATCAATCACTGAACCCTACTGTGATCTGATTGGCTCATGGCCAAAACAAGATGACACCTGATTGGCTCTCTAAACACTCATGCTCATTGGCTACCATCAGATGAAGGGAAAGCTACCCGATATCAACCTAAGTAAGTTGTGCTTCCTTTTTCTGGTTCTTTGGCTATAACTTTTCATAGAATGCAGTACAGATAATTGAACAATCTTTGTTGCATTACATTCTTGATTAAATTATCTTTCCATTGACATATAATTTCATGGTACTACTCCCTCCCCAAAAAGTGGTGTTAATTAGCCATCAAACCTCAAAAATACGCTTTTCCCAAAAGGTTTCCACAATTTTGGCCACTACTATAGATCTGAGCCATTAGCTGGATTCAGATTCTCTCTTCTATAAATTAAAAAGACGCTCTTCCTTTTGAAACAACTGAAAACTAACAAAGGATCATTCTATGGGGTGGCAGTTTTGCCCATAGGCTACTTGCTAAAGCCTAACTTTTCAAACAACGAAGTAGTATCTGCTTTTTTTTTTCTTTTGTCAGGATCGTTTTATGAATGCAATTTCACTGAAGAATAGAAGTAGAATTTTTAGAATCAGTTTAAAACTTTCCACGTAAAAGTCATTCAAGAAGACAGTTTTTGAAGCAACTTAAAACAATATAGCTTTTCTTTGGTAAATGTCCCCAGGGATCAAGGCCAGCTAGCCTGTACAAGAATCAAATTAAAAAATAAAATAAAATATTCACAGAATCAACACCATATAGGGATACAGAAAGCAAAAGACAATTGTAATTAAAATACACATTACAAAGAATAACAAAAAACGTTTAACTTTCAAACTTCAATCACAGCAAATGAGTATTCTTCATGCAAGACTTTATTTCATCTTTTACCTAAGCCAAGTCTTGGAAAAATGAATTATACTCAAGTGTCCTTTGGTATTATTCCTCCTTTTCTACATGAAAGGAAACTGAAAAAGAATTGGCATATTCCAAGAATTTCTAATCAGTACAGAAATATTTCTCTGCTACATATAGATTTTAAAAACTTAACAGGATAATAACTAAATCATAACTACCGTTATTATCTTTTGTTCATTCAGGATAATGCAGGAATGGATAACCAATATGTCCTACCAGATTGTTTATTCTGCATTTTTAATTGAATCTAGTACTAATTATACAGAAGTAAATTTAGAGACCTTAGCATTACAGTGTCACAGGAAAAATACTGGAATTTTATCTTAGATGTACTTAAGGTATAGGTACAAAAAGTGAGTTTGGAAGACACTGACAAAGTGAATAAAGAAAAAATGTTACGATTATATATTTCAAGTCTATAACTACAGGAAGCCTCAGATCTTTATACTGGTCACAATCCAAAATTTTCAAGCAATAAATTCAGTTCACTTGTTTATCAAAATAGAACAAATTCATTTTCTTCAGTTATTTAGATAATTAAGTCTAGAGGGAAAAACAAGAACTTTGGAAGAAAAAAACTGGGTTTTCCCACATCATTGACCCAGATATTATATTCATTATCAGTTATTTACTTTGGAGATTGCTGGAACTGTACAAAGTGCAACAAGAATGCTATAAATCTATTGGGTCTATTTTAAATCCAATTCTTCAGATCAGGATTGCAATTCAGTTACTAACAACACAATTTCCAATGGATGAAATACAGTTTGGGGAATAATCTTCAGTTAATATAAATAGGTAGGGCCCAGAAAGTAATTCTAGATATAATTGTGGTTTGAGAAGCAAGAAATTTTGTGAAATCCTTTTGACTCTTACATATTTATTTACACATTTATCATACATTTCTTCCAGAGTGATTAAATACTTTATTAGGAATACTGAATTTTTATTGCATGCTCTTTAGGTAAGCAGCTCCAAAACAGATATCAAAATGTTATTAAGTTTCCAACGATATGAAATGGACATTCCAGTACATAACAAAAAGCATTTGAGAAGAAGTTGAAACATTTATTCAGAGAAGACGAAAAGCAAATGTTTTATGATGGCTCCTTCAAAGGGCAGCATTTTGAAAATTTACAGAGTATAAATACATTCCAAATAAACGGCAAAACAGTGCAAAACTATGAATTAAAAAACTACTGCCGTCAATTTAATACATAGGTTTTTAATAAATTACTAAATATTTAAAGCTTTCTGTTTGACCATCTTGTACTTTTGCAAAACATTAAAAAAAATTCCCAATAAATCTGCAAGAAAACATTTGAAAAAAAAATTAACCATAAAACACAAAGAAATTTAAAATCCTATTATGGTTGATCCTCTTGTGTGCATTCTATCGTATGAGGTTATCTAATTTAGCAAGTTGTTTAAGGAATAAAATTTTATTCCTTGGGATTTTATAATATAACTTTGTGGAAGATGAATAGGTATTGTCTATGGAAATTCTCAATCATCCAGGTCATAATTATTATTCCAAAGGTGCTTTTTCACGAGGCAACAAGGAAGTCCAATTGCCTCGTGAAAAAGCACCTTTGGGATGAATAGATATTATAACTGGTTCATTTTTAATCAAATAATTGTTTGGTAAAACTCAACATTCTTTTAATACTGGCATCTATCAAAGATTTTGTTAACAGTTTCTCTGTAGCCTTCCTGAATTTAGTCACATGAGTTAAGTATACAGCAATACAGTAAATTTTATATTTTAACAAAGTGTTCAACAGAGAATAAAAACAGTTAGCAATATGAATTAAACTTATTAATATTTCAGGATTCAGTTTAACTGACATCTTTCAGGAGTCAGCCCATCATGTTAATAATATGCCTATCAAAACTACAGCCCATAAGATGTCAACCAATGACATTATCCATTATTTTAGCTACATATCAAACAAAGCCCAGATTTAAGCTTCTTAGTTCACATGTTAAAGGCGTAAGAGAGAACATTAGTTGAAGACTGTATTAAATTCCGGAATGCTCTGTCTAAATTGGACCATGAGCCTTTCGCAACAGCGACGCTTTCAACTAAAACAGCAAGCTGCTTTATTAATTCCATCTACTACATTTGGTTTGGTTGTGATTTGCCTTTTACCAAGCTTAGCATCGATTTATTCTTCACAGCATCCTGCATCTTCTCCCACAATCCATCTCCATAAAAATGAACATAATATACAGTAACAGTAAGGGGAAGCAACTTCAAGTAAACACACTGGCTTTTTGACTCGAAGATATTTTATTCAAATATTGTGATTTAGAACAATAAAAGCAGCCTTTAACATTAAGCTACTCAAAATACATTACAAACATTAACATAATGTACTGGGTCATTTTTCCCTCTTTCAGGCACTTTCAAAAGGCGCTTCAGACCCACAGAATCTCTTCTTCCGGTGTGCAAAAGAACAAAACTGCCAAGTGAAGCAATGCACAGTGGTATTCTGCAGGGTTACACAAGCTTTTTTTTTTTTTTTTTTGCATTTGCACTTAACATTCAAGTAATTATTCAACATAAGACCCTGACATTTTCTGTGGTTTTTTACAAAAAAAGTTAAATTATTTCTATTGCACACATTTTTGTGACAGAAGGACAAGTCACACCGCAGGTCTAGTTTGCCCTCAAATGCTCAAAAAGAGTTCTCTCTACAACAGACTGGGTGGCCCTTGAACAAAACAGTCTCCAGCACTGTCAATTTGTACCTAAAGAGCTTTTATTTATTGTGAAGCAAAATAAGCCTTCAAGCGTCCCTTACTTGATCTCAGAAGGTCAAACTCCCTGTCCAGCAGCTCCTCCTCTGTCAGGTTGGAGAAGTTGTCTTCTCCAAATGGGTTCCACCCAGACATATCCGGGGGATTGCTGATGTTTTGTTTTGGGTAGCTGGAAGCAGACTCTGTGTCAGAGGAAGATGATCTGTAGGAATCGAAGGAGAATAATGACTCAAGGTATTCTTAGTATTATTTTCATTCACATTCAGTGTCCTTAAACACAATGTAGAACACGCAGAACATTCAGTACAATGTAGAACGTGACCCTCCTGAATGTGAAGTATTACAAAATGTTTTATTCTAGAACAAAGTCAAGATACACCATTAGAATGGACCGATATCCTATGAATAACATAGAGCAGTGATGGCGAACCTTTTAGAGACCGAGTGCCCAAAAACTGGCCCTGCCCCCGCTCCACCCCCTGCCCTGCCTCTGCTCCGCCCCCACAGTCCCCCACCTCACCTGCCAGCCTGCAGGGCCACTCACCGCCTCCAGGGCCCGCCACAGATTGCCCAGGCAGCCCAGCAACGCCATGGCGGCCCCACCTTTGCCCACGCCCCGCAGCATCTACTGTGCATGATGGGACGTGAAGGCAGAGTCTTGTCTACACTGCCTGGCTGCCATGTCCTTGGCTGCGCTGCTCCGTGTGGGCCACACTCAGGGGCCATTCCTCCAGGGGGGCTGCTGGTGAGGGGGTCGTGGGGGCAGGTGAGGCTGGGGCAATGGCACATGTGCCCACAGAGAGGGCTCCGAGTGCCGCCTCTGGCACCCGTGCCCTAGGTTCACCACCACTGACAGAGGAAATGCAACCATAAAAACACGCCTACATTGTTTGTTTATTGACTAAATTTGTACACCTTCCATCTCACTATCAAGCAACTCTGGGTGGCCTACAATGCTATGAATAAGAGAATATGACAATTAAAGGATTAAAACATGAAAACATTGGGCACTAAAAGTTACAACATTAAAATTATTACTCAAGCAGATAAAAAGAACCAATACAGAGATGGGGTGGAAGTGGGATCTTCTGCTAATCTTCTAGCCACCTCCAAAATGGGATGCCCCCATTGAGGCTCCAAGCCAGTTGCCAAAGACAGGTTGTCAAGCTCTTTCAGAAGGCCAAGAAGAGAGGGGTGGGTCTCACCTCCAGGGGCAATATAATCCAAAGGGTGGAAGCCATGGGAGCAACGATCTTTTCCTAGACCCTGCTAACCACAATTCCTTGGCTAAGGGCAGGGGTAGGCAACCTCGGCTCTTTTATGACTCGTGGACTTCAACTCCCAGAATTCCCAAGCCAGTCATGCTGAAGGAACAGGGAGAGTTTGCCAAGCTGAGGCAGGCTGGCTCAGGAATTCTGGGAGTTGAAATCCACGAGTCATAAAAGAGCCAAGGTTGCCTACCCCTGGCTAAGGGAAGCCAGAGTTTGCCCCTTCTGCTGGCTTGAGAGGGGCGGGCCAATCCCATTGGGGTGAGGTGGTTCCTTGAGTACAGTTACTAATAACATGAGCTGAGGGAGCTTGCCTGTTTGTGGAATAAGGAGCCTCCAGAGCTGCACCAACATGAGCTGGAAAGGATTTAGAATGAGAGATTAAGGCTGGTGAAAACTCCTGAGGGGAGGTAAGAAATTCAGGAGAACGTTTCGGTGGTGGCAACTGATTCCCAAGGACCTGTTGCTGTAGAAGAGCTTGTTGGTACTGCTGCATCTCAAAGGAGAAGGAGAAGAAAGTCAGAAGTGCAAAAAATCTACCTCATGTAAGCCTTAAACAAATAACCCCAATCACACCTTCTACAGAAAATGAACATCTTAACTAAATTAACACAAAACACACGCATCTGGAATTTATACTGGCATTAAGCAATAAAGCAAACAAGCAGTTAAATGGAAGGAAAAGAAACCAGTTAATTAATAGTTACATAATTAGCACCATTAAATTATGCCATCCATTCATCTAGCTCCACGTTATGATGAACATAAAATGATGTAAGAGGATATTCTTTGGGAGGGGGGAAGAGAAATCTTCACCAAAAGCTTACAATATTGAACAAATATTTTTGGATGGGTTTTTTTTTCCGCTTCCAATATTTACTTCTGGTTTCCAGCAAAAAAAAAAAAGCCCATTGGATTCACTTAACGACCAGGGCAAAAAGCGCCAAAAAGACAGGTCCAGTCACGTGACTTACAACTGCAATGACTTGCGACCCATATTTCCGGGTTCAATTATGATTTTAAGACGAGGATTATGTGTTTTTATTTTGACCAAAAACCTCTTACAGATGATTTGTTTTTCAGGAAGAAAATGTTTTCTTTTACAGTTAAATATTATGGGAATTAAAAATAATAATAATGATGATGATGATGATGATGATGTTGGAAGGGACCTTGGAGGTCATCTAGTCCAATTCCCTGCTCAGGCAGGAAACCCTATACCATCTCAGACAAATGGCTGTCCAATCTCTTCTTAAAAACTTCCAGTGTTGGAGCATTCACCACTTCTGGAGGCAGGTTGTTCCAGTGGTCTAACTATCAGGAAGTTTCTCTTTAGTTCTAAGTTGCTTCTCTCCTTGATTAGTTTCCACCCGTTGCTTCTTGTCCTGCCTTCAGGCACTTTGGAGAACAGCTTGACTCCCTCTTCTTTGGCGCAGCCCCTGAGATACTGGAACACGGCTATCATGTCAACCCTAGGCCTTCTCTTTGTTAAATTAGACATGCCCAATTCCAGCAACCGTTCCTTATATGTTTTAGCCTCCAGTCCCCTAATCATCTTTGTTGCTCTTCTCTATGAAAGGAATTAAAAACCCAAAATGTATCATTTTCTTCACACATATTCACTGTTTCATAAGCCAAGATAAAAAATGGCAGCACAGAAAAATAGGGTACCAGAAGAAGATATAGTAGTTAACCAATCTTTTTAAGATGAGGCTCCAGTAACAACCTCCAGATGTATATATTCTGAGTTTCATTTATTTACATACTACTGTCAAATTCGCTCTCAACTCACTGGTTTGCTATAGTGAACAATAAATGGTTTTACAAAATGTTTGTTAAGTAAAGCCCAGTAAATTAGATGAAGTTAACCAGCACAATCAAACTATTTTACAGCCCAAGCTTCCCTTTCTTAGCTAGAAGGGTTTTATTTGGCTTCCCAAAACTGATTTACCATAGCAGGATATGGAGAAGGGGGTGGTTGCTGCTGGTACACAGAGCGTATCAAAAGCTGCTGTTGAACGACATGCTGCTGCATTGCTTGCTGATACTGTAACTGAAAAAAAGAAAATATTTGCATAAATCACAAATGCTGCTCAATCAAGTGAAATTGCCCACAAACAAAGCTGTATTTGGCAACTTGAAAAAAAAAATTCAGGGGAAGCCACAGAGGAATTTTCCAGTAATTGCTTAGTCTTTATTCTGAACAAAACAGTCTCAAGGTAAGCTAGTTTGGGGGTAGGGGTGTGCCTACTCTGAGTTTCACATTCTCTCCACTCTGTACCCCATATAGAAATGCTAGAAAAAATAGCAATTCAGAGCATTACGAACCATAAGGCATTCTGCAAAATGGTGAAAAAGACAGGTTACAATAGTGGTGGCAAACCTATGGCACGCGTGCCAGAGGCGGCACTCGGAGCCCTCTCTGTGGGCACACGTGCCGTTGCCCCAGCCTTGCCTCCCACACGATCACCTCACCAGCAGCCCCTCTGGAGGAGAGTTGCCCCCGAGCATGGCCCACGCGGAGCAGCGCAGCCAAGGACATGGCAGCCGGGCAGTGTAGACAAGACTCTGCCTTCATGCCCCATCGCGCAAAGTTGATACTGCAGGGCGCGGGCAGAGGGTGTGGCCGCCATGGCACTGCTGGGCTGCCTGGGTGATCCGTGGCACGCCCTGGAGGCGGTGAGTGGCCCTGCGGGCAGGCGGAATGGAGCCGGGGGGTGGAGTGGGGGCGGGGCCAGTTTTTGGACACTCGGTCTCTAAAAGGTTCGCCATCATTGGGTTACAAGATTTAAGTTTTAAAGAAAGTATAAGGGGCAAGATTAAAGCGGGATTACATCCCAGCTAAACCACAAAGGTACCTGCTGCACGTATGAATCATGGAGCAATTGTTGTTGTTGCTGTTGCTGATGTAAATGATGCAACTGCTGTAGCCTCCAGTCACCTTGCTGTAGTTGCTGCAATACTCTGTTTTGCTGTGGGGTTCCTGGTGATAATACATTCTCCTGACCATTTCCAACCTTTGAGGCTCCTAGAATATTTTAAAATGCCCATCAATGAATTTATTTAATGTGTGTTTTCCTGGCAACTCCAACTACCCACTCCCAAACTCTACAATAATCTTAGCACAGGAATAACAAACCTTTCCCACTTGTACTTTTCTACAGAATATTTTGCATGCTTTGGTTTGTTTATTTCCCCTTCGGCGAAGTCCTGACAGACACTAACGAATCATTTATATTTTGGGGTACAGGTACAACTTTGAACTATCCTATCCCAGTAAATTTTACATCCTAATACAGAATATTGAATGTTTCCTGTAAATGTAATCCTGTTGTTGCTCATTAAGAAATCCACAATATTATTTGAAATGTAATATTTTTATTAATAATTTTATAATCAAATATTTTTAGTAAAATAGTTTATTATTTATTAATAATATTTCGGGATGAGTGAATTTTTTGCTACGAAGAAATTTTCAACGAGATGCATTGCTCTTTCAAACAATAACATGTTTTCACAACTATGTGGAAGCAATTCTCCTCATACTGTGCTAAAAGCTATTTGAGTATAAGGGAAATCCACAATTGCTCAATTCTTACACAATTACAACTGCTGGTGCCTTCTAATTCTGGAATAAAGAAACAGTGATTTCTACTTGTTACCAAAAGAAGCTCCTTGCAGCTCACTGCATTAGTCTGAGAAATTACCTTTGTGTTCATTGTTAAAATCCCCAGGAACTGGCACTTTTACTGGTGTGGCTGCGCTCTGAATAGTAAGTACACTAGAAGTGGCACTGCTTGTATTGGCCTTTGGTCTCTGACGCGGTGCTATTGAGGTTTCTGTTGGTCCAATGGCATCTGTTATTCTAATGAAAGAAATTAAGAAGGAATTTTATTATAATCCTTTTTTAAAAAACCAATGTACAGAATAATGTGGGGGGTAAAGGTGTCTAGGAATTTCACAAAGATTATTGACAGCTGCTCAAATCACAGTGTTTCTAATTTTTATTTATTTATTTATAAATTTTATATGCCAACCCATCTCACAGTTATAGCAACTTTGGGAGGCTTACAGCATAAAAAAAAGATAATACAAAACAATTACAAATAAAGAAAGTTAGAACAAATAACCAGTGGAACAACTTGCCTCCAGAAGCGGTGAATGCTCCAACACTGGAAGTTTTTAAGAAGAGACTGGACAGCCATTTGTCTGAAATGGTATAGGGTTTCCTGCCTGAGCAGGGGGATGGACTTGATGACCTCCAAGGTCCCTTCCAACATTATTATTATTATTATTATTATTATTATTATTATTATTATTATTATTATTATTATTATTATTATTATTATTATGAAAGAGTAAATGAAGACTAAAAAAACCAAGGCAACATGGGGGTGGGGATCTTTTGTCTAACCCATCAGCCACTCCCTGCATAGGCAGCCCCTTTTGGGATCACAGATCATCTAGCAGAGCCCGATTTGAAGGCTATTCCGGAAGGCCAGAAATACGAGGGACTAAAATCAGCAGTTGGATCTGATTTGCACTACTCTGATATGCTGAACACAGGGCTTCCCAAAAACTATAATTGGTCCCGAGGCAGGGGTGGCTTAGTTCCATCTATGTGGGCAAAGAAATATTGGAGTAGGATTCATATATTAATGCAGAAAATTCTTAAAGTGAACATAAAGATCAAACCAGAAACTTTCTTTCTGGGCCTAATGGAAAGAGAACTGGAAAAAAACATTTGGAACTCTTATTTTATATACGGTGACGGCAGCAAGATTTCTCTATGCACAAAAGTGGAAGGAGGCCTCAATTCCCACCACGGACGAAGGGTTACAAAAGCTGATGGAATTAGCAGAGATGGCCAAATTGACTGTGCTGATAAAAGAACATTAAGTGCTTTTGTTTCTACTTGGAAACCGCTTCTGGACTTTGTGCTTGAGGTGGAAAAAAAATGATATCACAGTTTGGGGTTTTACCAATTAGACTGATTTGCCGATACAGAAATGGCTAGTGCGTCGTACTATAGAAATGTAAAAAGCTGAGATTTGATTTTAATGTCTGATTTTACTGCAACAGAAAGAGTTGGAAGTCAATGCCTTTTGTTTCCTCCCCTCCCTTTCTTCACAACTTTTTTTTTTTTTGTTTTCCCTTTTTCTACTGTTGTCCCCTACTATTTGCTTCGGTATTTTCACATTTTATGTTACAAATGAATAAAACTAATTTTAAAAAAATTCCATCCGTGTGATACCTCTACTACACAATCCCGCTGGTTTGCTACTGGATGCAATTCAACGACCCATAAAGTCCTGCTTGGTTCAGGGCACGAATATGTATGGGATTGCTTTTTTCTAACTTTTTCTATTCCTCTGGGGGATAGCTGCTGCATGTGATCCCCCCAGCAGGATCACATGTAGCAGAAACAACCATACTTCTGAAAGGGCCTTCTCTGTGGCCACCCCTCAACTTGGTGGAAGTCCATTCTCCAAAGTCCACATAGCCACAAACTTGCTGTCCTTTAGGGAAGACCTCTTTTTTTTTCCTCCAACAAATCCTGGGTATTTGTGACCTCACTTTTGCTAATTGACTAACTGATCCCTTGTAATTATCTAATTATTATGCTATTCTCTAAGGTGGGTTCTTCATGTTTTATGTTTGCGCATTTTGTGGTGGTTTTCAAAGTAGATTATGTTGCACATGGCCTGGAGTTTCTGTGCTGGCTGAGGCAACTTATACATTTCAAACAAATAAAAATAAAACCATCTTTGCCTCTTCCCAGCTATGAAACCAGGAGAGCGTGAATGGAAATAGTGTTTCTTCACCCATAACCAGCCTATTGTGTCTCAATGCTGAGCCATGACAACAACAACACTTTACAGTTGAAGGGGCAGAATAATCCTTGTCACCAGTCCTTGTTTCATAATAAGAGTCTAGTAGTGGAAGTATAGATAATTTCATGTCTGTACACTAAAATTGCCGGGAGAAATATCAACAACCTAAGATATGCAGATGATACCACTCTAATGGCAGAAAGTGAAGAGGAACTAAAGAGTCTCTTGATGCGGGTGAAGAAGGAGAGTGCAAAAGTGGGCTTGAAACTCAACATTAAGAAAACCAAGATCATGGCATCAGGCCCTCTCAATTCCTGGCAAATAGATGGGGAAGAAACGGAGGTAGTGACAGATTTTGTCTTCCTGGGCTCCAAGATCACCTCAGATGGGGACTGCAGCCAAGAAATTAAAAGACGCTTGCTCCTGGGGAGGAAAGCTATGGCAAATCTAGACAGCACAGTAAAAAGCAGAGACATCACCCTGCCAACAAAAGTGCGTATAATCAAGGCCATAGTTTTCCCAGTTGCAATGTATGGCTGTGAAAGTTGGACCATATGAAAGGCTGAGCGCAAAAGAATTGAGGCCTTTGAACTATGGTGCTGGAGAAGACTCCTGTGAGTCCCCTGAACTGCAAGGTGATCCAACCAGTCAGTCCTAGAGGAGATCAACCCCGACTGGTCTTTAGAAGGCCAGATCCTGAAGTTGAAACTCAAGTACTTTGGTCACCTAATGAGAAGGAAGGACTCACTGGAGAAGAGCCTAATGCTGGGAAAGATGGAGGGCAATAGAAGAAGGGACGACAGAGAGTGAGGTGGCTGGATGGAGTCACTGAAGCAGTAGGCGTGAGCTTAAATGGACTCCAGAAGATGGTAGAGGACAGGAAGGCCTGGAGGAACGTTGTCCATGGGGTCGCGATGGGTCGGACACGACTTCGCAACTAACAACAACAACCCTTTTTCAACACCATATTAAGATGTATCATGCCTGGTTAAGAAACATAGTAAGAGACAAAGTGCACTCTTGGTTTTCTAAAAAAAAACTTGAGCTTTTTACTCTGAACAATTTGAAAGAGTTTTAAAAGAGAAAAGTGTTTTGGCTTCTACTATTAGTCCTTATATGCGAATGAAACCATAAAAAGCACAAGTTAGAAACATCTCAGCTTAATTTAATTAAATTATGTGAAACAAAAACCTCTTTATATTTTTTTCTGCGCCTTTAAAATTGTGCATTGGGAGGCAGCGTGTCTGTGTGCATGCATATAGGTGTGTATTTAAGGGTGTGTGTGTATATATATATATATATATATATATATATATATATATATATATATACACATTGTATATATTTATTATTCACTATTATCACAAAAGGGCGCCTGCGTAACATTTTCTCTGAAAGAAACATACAGTAATAACTTGAAATCCACATTGTGCCACTCAGTTCATCTTCAAATGTACCCTGGTGTGTGAAAATATACCGAGTTTTTGCAAAAATAAACCATTGCAGGAAAAAATGCAAAAACAGATTATTAACAGAAACCGTTCAAGAGCAAATACTTGATCTTATAAATATTCTGGATTATTCTCTTTAAAAGGACAATGCTTGTCTTATGTTCAGCACTTTCTCTTATGTATATGCAAGAGAACAACAACGAAAGGCAGAGGAAAATAGGGCAGAAGTGAATTATTCCAGCACAGTGATGGCAAACATTTTAAAGACCAAGTGCCCAAAAACCACGCCTGCCTCCCCCGGTCTACCCGCCCCACCTCCAGCCTCCCCCCTCCACAGGGCCACCCACCACCTCCATGGCCCGCCGCAGATCGTCCAGGCAGCCCAGTAGCGCCATGGCAGCCACACCCTCCACCCGCGCCCCACAGCATAATCAGTGTGCAATGGGTTGCGAGGGCGTAATCTTGTCCCCGCTGCCCAGCTGCCATGTCCTTGGCTGCGCTGCTCCGCATGGGCTGTGCCCGGGGGCAACTCTCCTCCAGGGGGCCTGCTAGTGAGGAGGGGGTCGCGGGAGGGGGGGAAGGTGAGGCTGGGGCGACGGCATCCATGCCCACAGAGAGGGCTCTGAGTGCCGCCTCCGGCACGCATGCCATAGGTTCGCCACCATTGTTCTAGCAGAAGAGAGTTGGGGAATTTGACTTCTCAATCTCAGTTTAAGACAAGTATCAGATTCCTGGCCACCTCAAGTAACTTCTGTGTGCAATAAATCTAAACTTTGACTATGGTCTTCATCCTTAAGACCTGTCTGGATGAGCCTGATGGGAGTTCTCATCAATGAGGTTGGTTTGACTGGATTTCAAATACTGGTTCAGAGCTGGGCATTGGCTGGCCACGTTCTCCCCCATAACAAAATAATATCCCCAGAACTTAAATTGGCCCCTTCTCTCCTGAGTTTCAGAAAGTCTATCAACATTTGGCTTGTTCCAACAAGCTTTGCAAGCAGGGCTGTGGTGACTAAGCCTCTGCAGGATGAGTTCTTTGAATCCGAGCGTACACCGCCGATTTAACTACGATACTTGGGATTGGAATTTCTGTCATTAAACAATGCATTCATAAAGTGTGAGGTCACACAATCTCATCGCATAATTGAGAGCAATCGCAGCAGTCTCCGCTCCCATCATTAAGTGAGGATGGCAGGCAAAGAGGCCAAGGTGGCTGGCAAACAGGCCAGCAGGCAGGTAAGGGGCAGCGTGATGGGCCAGGGATAGCTGCTTCCAGCTGGGGAAGGCCGTGATGCGAGTGACTTACTGGAGTGACTTGCAACCTTTCCTGCTAGCTCCCCAACTGATTTTGCTTAGGGCAGGGGTAGGCAACCTTGGCTCTTTTATGACTCGTGGACTTCAACTCCCAGAATTCCTGAGCCAGCATGGCTCAGCTTGGAAACTCTCCCTTTCCCCTCAGCATGGCTGGCTCAGGAATTCTGGAAGTTGAAGTCCACGAGTCATAAAAAAGCCAAGGTTGCCTATCCCTGGCTTAGGGGGAAGCCAGACACTAATCAGTCATCTAATGATCCTATCACCAGGGGATCTTCCAACCATCATGCTGGTTGTCAAGTGCCTAGACCAGTGGTTCTCAACCTGTGGGTCGGGACCCCATTTGGGGTCGAACGACCATTTCACGGGGGTCGCCAAACAAGGCTGTCAGCCATTTTTTCCCCCTTTTCCTTAGCTGTGCTACTCCCTTTTAGAATAGAGTCTCTCTTGAATAGAGTCTAATTCTATTGGCTTTCAAAAGCCAATAGGAATTGTCCAGGCTGTCTCTGCCCTGCTGAGCCCGCCAAAAGTCCCATTCTGCAAATGGTGCTGCACCAGTTGAGTAGTCCTCGACTTACGACTGGTTGAGTAGTCCTCGACTTATGGTTGGTTGGGGGTCACGGCATTAAAAAGGTTGAGAACCACTGACTTAGACTTATATACCGCTTCATAGTGCTTTACAGCCCTCCCTAAGCAGTTTACAGAGTCAGCATCTTGCCCCCTCCAGCAATCTGGGTCCTCATTTTACCGACCTCGGAAGGATGGAAGATTGAGTCAACCTTGAGCCGGTGAGGATCGAACTGCCAAACTCCTGGCAGTCGGCCGTCAGCAGAATCAGCCTGCAATACTGCATTCTAACCACAGCGCCACCACAGTTCTTACAATCATGTGACTGTGGGGAGTGCTCAGATGACCAATTGTAAATTTGCTCAGCACCGCCATAATTCTAAATGGGGCTGAGCGAGTGGTCATCAAACAAAGACTATCTTTGCCCTGTTTGTGGTGTTTAGTTTTCGGTTTTATTGCTGTCGATGATATTATATTTATTTTGCCTTGTTATCCAGTCTGTTTTTAATCCAAGTTAGGGAACTGTGTGCTGCTCAGAGTTGGTTCGATTGGAAGGCTTATAAGCCCAGTCAGTAAACAACTAAATAAATCATCTCTCTCAACTGGTAGAGTTGAGACAGGAGCTCTGTTCTTCATGTGACTGGATGTGAAGCCATATCTGCGTAATTGGGCCAGAGGGACAAATTGGAGTGTGTTGTTACTGCGTAGTCCTCGCCGCTGCACAGTAGTCCCCCTCCCAAGTTGCTTGATCTCATCACAGATAGGCTGTTAGTTCTAGATAATTTTAACTTCTTCTCATGGGGATTCAAAGTGGCTTGGGAATTCATAGCCTCCACAATAAGCAAAGTCCAAGATCATTACTGCTTCAACCCACAGAGTTGGGCACACGTTAGACCCGGTCTTCAGCTCCCTACAGATGGGATGTGATCTCACAGCCTCCACTGCAGGGGTAGGCAACCTCGGCTCTTTTATGACTCATGGACTTCAACTCCCAGAATAGCTGGCTCAGGAATTCTGGGAGTTGAAGTCCATGAGTCATAAAAGAGCCGAGGTTGCCTACCCCTGCCATAGAGCTGAACAGGGATCTAGACTGGATTGCTCCAAAGCAGTCTCTCCTTATGCACCAATCCAGAACAGCTCCTTCATTCTGAGCTCCAAAATGCCTGGAGCAACACTGTGCTGATGGATGAGGACAGAATATGACTGGACACAGGGATGCATTTAAATATAAGCCTATTACTCTGAGACGTTAAGGGCAGTGAAGTAGAATTTATTTCCTTCCCCTATTGCAGGGGTAGGCAACCTCGGCTCTTTTATGACTCATGGACTTCAACTCCCAGAATTCTGGGAGTTGAAGTCCATGAGTCATAAAAGAGCCGAGGTTGCCTATCCCTGCCCTATTGCATCTGCAGATTGTTTGCTGGCTGAAATCATGACTCTCCTACTTTAGCGAGCAGCAGTTTTGTCAATAAAATCACTCACATTCACTCATGACTCCTACTTTAGTGAGTAGCAGTTTTGTAAATAAAATCACTCATATTCACTCGGAGCTGGAAGCTTGGCAGCCAACAGTTCATCAAATGACAGAAGAATTTGGTAATGTTATCTGGAAAGTTCTAAAATCAGTGGATCTCACCCAAAAAAGGGATAGGCTTCCTTGCGGTTTTAGCTCTCCCATTTATAGGTTTGATATCTTCCCTCTCCTGCCAGGTTAAACAGCCCCTCCCCCCCCCAAAAAAGGATTGCGGACTTGGATTCAAGGAATTGTTAATGTCCCTCTGTGAGAGGGGTGAATTCCAGCAGTCTTAAAAGAGGTTAAGAGATCTTAATATTGGGCATGCTGATGGATATTAATAGTCCATGCTATTTCCAACTTTCATGTTGGAAGATAAAGTGGTGCAGCAACGTATTTGACTACTGCGGTGAGATTACCATATGCTCTAAAGTGGAAAGATTCAACACTACCCACAAAGGAGAAATGATTGTGAAGAGGATGGAACTTGCAGAAAAGGCTAAGTTGACTTCCTTGGCTAAAGAAAAAAATGGTATGTACATTTATGGCCGTCCGAAAATCCCCTTGTAGGCTATTTGCATGGCACAGGAAAAAAAATGCAAACGATTTGTGGTTTTGATGATTAGGAAAAAATAAGGTAAAATTGAGCTTTTTTTCCTGTAACCACAAAGTAAAAGATAAGTTTATAATCACACTTCTATGAATGGAAAGAAAATTGGAAGCTTCATGAGAGCAAAACCCCGCTCCCTTCTAGCACTGATAAGGCTACCTAGTTTGGTAATGAAAAGTCTGCAAGAGAACAGCCAAGCTCAAAGAGCATCAAGAACCCGGCGCTTCAACCCCTAGCTAAAGAATCTTCTCTTCTTCTATTTCTCTTTATCTTTTTTTCCTGCACCTTTTTCTTTCTTTTTTTTCCATTTTTCCCTTCCTTTATATTAGTTTTTGTTGATTTTAATCTGCTCTATAATTTTGTTTAATATAATTAATAAAAAAAGCAGTGGAACAACAAAAATATTCTGGAAGAAGCATATTATCCAGAACTATAACAACAACAACAACAACAATAATAAAAATAAAGTTGGAAGGGCCCTTAGAGATCATCAAGTCCAACCCCCTGCTCAGGCAGGAAACTTTTTACCATTTTGGACAAATGGCTGTCCAGTCTCTTCTTAAAAACTTCCAGTGTTGGAGCATTCACCGCTTCTGGAGGCAGGTTGTTCAGATTCAAGCCAAGATGGAGGGAGCATGGCCACCCTCATTTTGTTGGCTCGTTTAGCAACCTTTGGCACTGCTCGCTACACTATCCTTCAGCACCACCTACAAGGACTGAAAGCACTACACAATGACAACACTGTTCCTGAGTGGGCAGGTTCTGTCTATCAATAGTTGTAGAGGAGAGGGGTTCAATTCATTATGGGGAATTCTAGGGTTTAGCTTTCCCTGCATCCCATTTCAAATCTGCATGAAGCCAGTGGGAAATGGCAAATGCAGTGGAAGTCCTAAAGCAGTGGTTCTCAACCTGTGGGTCGGGAACCCATTTGGGGTCGAACGACCATTTCACGGGGGTCACCAAACAACGCAGTCCACCATTTTTTTTCCCCTTTTCCTTGGCTCTGCTACTCCCTTTTATTCTATTGGCTTTTGAAAGCCAATAGAATAGACTCTCTTGAATAGAGTCTAATTCTATTGGCTTTCAAAAGCCAATAGGAATTGTCCAGGCTGTCTCTGCCCTGCTGAGCCCGCCAAAAGTCCCATTCTGCAAACGGTGCTGCACCAGTTGAGTAGTCCTCGACTTACGATGGGTTGAGTAGTCCTCGACTTACGACCGGTTGGGCGTCGCGGCATTAAAAAGGTTGAGAACCACTGTCCTAAAGGATTATATGTGGAGAAACCAACCTGGATTCAACCCAAGCCAAGAGCAAGTGGTTATTAATTCAGCAGCTGGCTGACCATGGTCTTGTACCAATTCTGATTTTTAATAGAACAACATTCTATATGTGGGACTAGGAGCTTCCCTGGACTCACAGCTCTACCAGGGGAAATTGGGTTCAGGATGGAACATCTGTGGCCACAGAACAAAGCTCTGCATAGTGAATAGTATGCCCAAAAGTGCACTGAATTATTAATAAAATTATTGCACTCACCTAGCTTTTATTTGGCTTTTCTTAGCAGCAGCCTCACTAGCTGTCAAGGGCTCAGGAAGAGTTGAAGGGAGAGGAGAATTCTTGGAAAAATAAGTGAGCATGTGTTATTAACAGCTTTTCTGGGAAATAAAGATAGTAATAGAAAACTTCTGTATCATACCAACTTGAACATAATCATATTGCATACCAACAATAAACAAAAAAGCCCATATAGGGTATAATCCATTCATATAGACGCGCACATTCACCCACAAATAGGTATTGTTAAGTCCAGGTTTAGTAAAAGTACAATCTTAGGAGGACCAAAAAAAAATCTATAGAAGTTTAGGAGCGGAAGTTGTCCACTGATCATGGAGCTCTCCCTGAAGACGGAACAAAACTAAAGTATCATGGAAGAGGATAAAATTGGTGACATTACGAACAAAAATACTCCACTGATTGTAACATTCAAATCCATTTATTTTCAGAAATCCTAGGCATCCAACAGAAAATTGTAAATTTCCGCGTACTGGTCCAAATATGCTTGTGATGAAAATTGTTTCTGATAAACTGAAAAGCCTTTATGTTATACTTCTGAGAAATACAGATGTAAATGATAAGCACTTGTTAGATACCAGTGACCTTACGATAGTCACAATAATTTAAATTAGAATAACTAACTTGGGTCCCTATGTTTGCTTGAGCAGGGAGCTGGACTAGAAGACCTCCAAAGTCCCTTTCAGCTCTATTCTGTTCTGTTCTATTCTATTCTATTCTATTCTATTCTATTCTATTCTATTCTATTCTATTCTATTCTATTCTATTCTATTCTATTCTATTCTTCTTGATGTCCAAGTACAATGAAATCTGGAGCTAACGTTCAAGCCATAATACAGCGAACCCTATTAAAAGCAGCCAATACAATTTTGAAATTTCCCTGTCAGTTGACAGGGAAGCAATATGTCCGGCTGAGCATGCAGTTAATCATGCAACTCTCTCTAGATTGGAGCTAGAGGTAGTTCTCGTTAAGCGACCATTGAAAGTTAAGGTGCTGCCAAATTAATGGTACTTACTCTGGTCCCTGATCCTGCAGCTATTGCGTCACCCACAAGGTCATGTGATCAAAATTCAGGTGTTTGATAACCTGTCTGCACTTATAACCATAAAGGAGTGCCAATTCCTCCCCATTTGCCTATCTCCCCTATCCTCTCTGCCCTTTTGACCATCCTGCATGGACGAACTCCTTGATGGCTGCAATGCTGAGGCTGAAGAGAGGCCCAGGGCTTTCAGCAGTCTCAATTGTCCACACACACCCCCAAAAAAACTCTACTTCAGCCCCAACACTGCCACCACAGCTGCCACCAAGGAGTGTCACCTCAAGCCATACAGTAGGGGTCTTCAAACTTGGCCCTTTTGTGACTTGTGGACTTCAATTCCCAGAATTCCTCAGCCAGGCACGCTGGCTGTGGAATTCTGGGAGTTGAAGTCCACAAGTCATAAAAGGGCCAAGTTAGAAGACCCCTGCTATACAGCATAGTGAAAATCCCCAGCCATCCCCACTGCTCTTTACTCCGCAGGTTTTGCTATGCCTAGCTGACCTTCTCCAGCTCCCTTCCATTGCTTTGGGCCATGCCACGCTTTCTTTCCAAAGCTGCTTGCACTGTTCTCCAAATAACATGTGCCACTTGCAATGTTTTGAAAAAAACCTTCAGCAATCTTTTGACGCTTTCCAAGGGATTGTGAGAAGGCCACGCCCACTGTTCTCCAAAATTGCACATGCCGTTCTCAATGATGCTTTGGAAAGCTTTCACAAACTTTCCGCGGCCTTTCGAAGCATTGTTAAGAATTGGCCTGGGCGATCTGTGGAGAATTGTGGGTGCAGGAGGTCTCAGGAACCTTCTGAAATATCGCAAGAACAGTATGCACTACTTGAAGAACAGCACAAGCAGATTTGGGAAGACGTCTTGGTGTGGTTACCAGCTGCCTCGCATAAGGAGAGGCCAGATACACCTCGTCGACGGTGGAAAGGAGATGGCGAAGGTAGAGCTTGTAGAGTGCAGGACAATGGAGGTGGCTTTATGATCCCATTGCTTAGTGACATAAATTCCAATCCCAATTTACCGTTGTAATTCAAAGACCACCTGTGTTCTGCATTTTTAACTGTTTTTGTTGTAAGAAACGAGGCCAGGTGAATAGCTCTTAACGTGGTCAATTATTTAAGGACACTAGCATATCTTGGAAATGAGGCCAGGAAGTAATATGTCAAGGGCATTAAAAATGCATATCATATCTGCTATGATCGATACAAGCATACATTACCTTATTAACCTTTAAAAATAAGCTCTTCTCTTGTCAATACTAAATTCGTTAAAAGATATGTTTGTTTTTTTCAACAGGGAAAGATGAATTAATATTTTTTAGGAGTAAACCTGATTACCACTCCTACTTATTATTCTAAACAAGATTTATACTGTGTCAAAACAGGCTCAAATACAGATCTACTTACATTCATGTTTAAAATTGGACAATCCTTTTTGGCAAGTTTAAAGGCAAAGTAAGATACTTGAAAGATATCAGGTCGTCGCTCTTGATCTGGTTCAAGCATGTATCCTGTTGATTACAGCAAATTAAATTATTAACCTAAAGGGAAGAAGTCATTAAGGCAACCGAGTTTATTAAGGGTGAATAAAGTGATTTTATAATTACCTTGGAGTTCTGATTACATTATTTTCTACGTACAACAGTCAGGTATGGGTGTTAGAGAATAGAGTGACTGGATTAATTCCTCTTGTCATTACATTATTTTATGGAATATTCTTACATCCATCCATAAATCACACTATGAACTTTGTACCCGTTTTATCTAGCAACAAAGCTATAGGGTTTTTTCTTTTTAAATTAGATTTGGCTAATTTCATGCCTTCATAACATGACAGTTAAATTATTCTAAACTGCTTTAAAAAATATCTTAATCATCATTTTGCACCACTGTAAATTATCTTTCAGGCCAATTTTAACTTCCCATACCCTTAAACTACCAGGTCTAGGTATTCTTGAATGCCATATTTCCTATTGTATCATTCTCAGGCAAATAAAACTCCACATCAATTCTATCTGGAAAATTATTCCAGTGTATATTTAATGACTGCATGATAATGAAGCAACTTTCCCTGAGATTCTTTACTTCTTAACCCTATTATTTTTTAGATTCTGAAAAGAGTTTCATCTTTACTGGCCAGGATTAAGCTACAATCAAAACTTTTAGCATCATTTCCTGTATAAGCACTCTAGTAGGTGAATATTTTTTTAGTTTGAAAGCAAAGTGAGCGTACACAAAAATGAAGTATCACTTTTCATACATTTGTATTTTTTCAATTTATAAATTAATGACATTTTTTAAAAAAAAAAGAAAAATGGCTTGATAAGGACCTGAGAACTTCCTAAACGTATTTTATGGGTGGATATCAATCACACACAAAAGATTACACTAACTAAGCTGTTGTTCAGAATTAGCAATGCTGTCATAAAACGTCAAAATAAATTTAGAGCAGGGCTTTTCAACCTTTTCATCAGTGTACCACTTTTAAGATATGGCAATATCTGAGTACCACCAGTCGCCTAGCAAGGTATCAAAAACTTGATGACCAAAAAAAAAAAAAAAAAGAGGAAAAAAGTGATGAAGTACAAGTAGTCCTTGACTTACAACAGTTCACTTAGTGACTGCTTGAAGTTACAATGGCACTGAAAAACGTGCCCCCCAAGCCACAGCCAAGCAAGACACCTGCCTGCCCACCCGGTGGTGCTCTTTCTCCTGTCCGAGGTTTCCATTGTTGTGAGCATTTCTGTTGAGGATTGGCAGTGGGGGTGGGGTGGGGGGGTGTTTGGTTTTTATTCCCTCCGTCTGCTGGGTGGTTGCAGCAGGTTTTGGTCACTTCACATGACCCTGGGACACTGTGACCGTCATAAATATGAATCAGTTGCCAAGCATCTGAATGTAAATCACAAGACCCTGGAGATGCTGCAACATTCCAGCTGATCGGCGCTTCTTCCGGGCTTAGCAGAAGCGCCAGGATCAGTGCCGAGCTCCAGCTGGAGCCTGGCGCTGATCTGGTGCTTCCACTGAGCCCTGACAGTCCTGAAGAAGCGCTGATCCTGGTGCTTCTGCTGAGCCCTGACAGCCCTGCAGCTCCACCCGTCTCTCGCTCAGGCTTGTGCGGTGCTGCCACCGGTTTAGCTCATTCCCCTCCCCCACTACCACTTTTCTAGGATGGTCGCGTACCACCTGCCAGGAGCCAATACACACACACACACACACACACACACACACACTCCATATATACATATTCCAGTATATACCTGAACTGCATCCCAGAATATTGGATACATACATACACATATATATACATAACATCCCCATTGGAAGTGTCTTATTCGACGAAGTCAATTCGTCATCAGGCTGGTGTTTTTATGAGCAGCAAATTGCTGCTCAAAGCAAGATGACGAATGTGACTTCGTCGAAACGTTGCCAAGACACTTCCAATTTTACGCGGGAGAAAACCCGAACAACCAAAGACCTATATACAAATACCCGCGAAAACCTCAGAAAACAAATATATATATATATATATATATATAAAATAAGACAGTATAAAGTAGTTAATAATAAAGACAGGAAAGAGCAAGTCTTGATTTTTTTATAAAAATAACCCCCTATGTATCAATTGTAATCAAAAAAAGATAATGTATTTTTTGTAGAAAAAAACCCTCCTAAAATGTACATGAAACTCATTTTTCAAAGTATTATTCCAATTCATAAATAATAGTATTTACTCCAATATTTTTATAATATTACAATATATATTACCATATTTCTTTGGTTACATTGGAAATAAGCGTGTAATGAAATATGCAATAACCAAGGTAATCAGTTTTGGTTATGCCTACATGTAGCAATTTTACTTTCACATAAAACATTTTAGTTAGTAAAGCGTACCAGTTACTTACTTATCAAACAATGCATACTGTGAGAATAACGCGAATTGTCTGGGATGGTGAAGCTTCCATCACAAATAGCAACCTGACTCTCACCAAAGGGAAGTGTGAAAAAACAAAGTTTATACAGCAAGCAGCCAAGGGCCTGTTTAAAAAAAGCACATCGTTATAGTAGTAACTGAACTATAAAAAACAGCAAACTCTTATTTTAAAAGTTGCAATAGGTTTTGTTATCACGATTTCATATTGTTTGAACGATTGCTAGTTACAATAATAAAACCGTTAAAACATGTTGTGTAATTTAGATCATTTAGTACTATTTAGCAGCAACATTCCTAAACCATAATCCTACCAAATCCGCACTGCTCATTTTAAAAATACTTTTCTTGATTTTTTTTTTGCTGCTTGTGGCATTATGAAAATTTATTCTGATGGTCATTTATTTCACCTCCACATCGTCACAACACAGTTGTCCTAGTAAAAGTGCTTTTGTATTAAATGGTTTCCAAATGCAATGGATTAAATCCAATCAATTGTATCTATAACTTTAGTCACTAGAACAAAAAAAAACCCCAAATAAATGTGATTCTTTTTGAATTGTTCTACATGAATTTAGCAGATTAAGAACATCACCCATTTCATTTTTTTATAAAATGTATGGATATGAGTTGGACTCAGACACTTATATGCAGTACACTTATTGAAATTAAGAAAGATTACAATAAACCTGGCTACTTTTGGATTCCTTGGAAATACTGATCTAGTCAGCACTTTTCTTATTAATTCTTGCAAAACAGTTTATCTTACCCAGATATCTGCCTTAGTTGTAATTGTTTTCCCTCCATAAAGATTGATCATTTCAGGAGCTCTATATGACAATGTGGTATACCTTAAGACAAATAATTTAGAATAAAAGTTAATCAAACACAAATATGACTACGGTAACCTGTTTTACAAACCTAAACTATACAGCTATTGCACTAATAAATGTACTTTGAGGTGGGGTATTAATTTTATTTTTTAAAAAATGATGGCACTCTTGGGTACCACATTTTTCTCAGGGTATCTTATGACAGTAATATTGCCAGGCATATTATTTTTTTAAATACTTACTAGGAAACAAGGAATCCTCAGAATGCAAGAAAACAACCACATTAGAATAACAAATGGGAAAAACCCCTAACTTTCTACCTGTTAAAATAAGGAGTTTTTTTTATCAGAGCAATGCTAGAATGGCAGAATAACTTTGCATAATTCTAATTTCAGATATCCATAGTTGATAACAAAAAATCAGATCTGAATATGCACATAAAAGGACTTGATTACTGATGGTCTGGGCTTAGTTTTTTGCTATTTAGGGATGCACAGAATAGCAACAAGCAAAGGCACTCCGCATCAACAGCAGAAAGAAAAAGATGGCAAAGGTCAGATGGGGGCAGTAGGAGTGGGGGTATGTATCACAGAAAGCAGGGTGGCCAAAGGGGATGGGGGAGAGAGGTAGGTTGAGGGGGTGTTGAAATGCATGCTGGAATTGCAAATGCAGACAGGCAGCCAAGCATCTGAATTTTGATTGTGGAGTGCTGAAGTGGCTGTACCTTTGAAAAATAACTACCGTATTTTCCGGCGTATAAGACGACTTTCTAAAGCATGCAAATCGGCTCCAAAGTCGGGGGTCGTCTTATACGCCGAAAATTACGGTAGTTGTTTAGCACCACTTCAAATGGTGATTGAATGAAGGGTCATTAAATGAGGACTACCTAGAACAGATTTCTAAACGTAGACAATCACCCAATTAAAGAACTGAGCCTTTGGACATATTATTTCTTTTTAAAATGTTCTGTGATAATAAAGCAGGCACTGAGATTTCCAAACATTTTGCTATTGTTAGGCTGCCGAGAACTATCGATGGGCGACTTACTTTTTAATTTCTTCTTCAACTCCACTGACTCCATCTTTCTGAGGATTAAGGAATTTATTAGTGGCACTGCCAAAGTCACAGAGGACATAGTTCCCACTGTCGTTCAATAAAAGGTTTTCAACCTGAAAGAAAACAAACATCGACTTACAAACATCGATAAACACAGACACTGAATGTAGTTCTAATCATTTTCAAGCACTTTCACTTAGCTGTTTTGAGTTATGATGCAGAACTAAACTGTTATTATAACTTTAATTCCCCCAAGTAAAGATTTATACATTGTCACTGTATTGTGACATGCACTGCGCTTCACACCTCGGGAGTAAAAGCTTCATATAATAAAGTCAACAAGCTGCTTGCAATCGACTTGCTAAAGATTCTGCCCCAAAAAGAAATGAAGAGGGCGGATCGGGAGGCAAATATTTTCAGCAGAAGCCCCTACGTTGCAGAATATTCTGTTCCTGGAAGCATGATTGCCCTCTACCCTTTACTCACTTAGAATGCTATCCTTTCTCAGCACTTCTTTAGAGCCTTCAGTGATCCAGCTGTTCACCTAGTATCATTATTATTCTGATTTCTTTACATTATTGTACTGTTGAACTTTTGTTTGTTGTTGTTATTAGTTGCAAAGTCATGTCCGACCCATTGCGACCCCACGGACAATGTTCCTCCAGGCCTTCCTGTCCTCTACCTTCTTCTGAAGTCCCTTTAAGCTCACGCCTACTGCTTCAGTGACTCCATCCAGCCACCTCATTCTCTGTCGTCCCCTTCTTCTATTGCCCTCCATCTTTCCCAGCATCAGGCTCTTCTCCAGGGAGTCCTTCCTTCTCATTAGGTGGACAAAGGACTTGAGTTTCAACTTCAGGATCTGGCCTTCTAAAGAGCAGTCAGGGTTGATCTCCTCCAGGACTGACCGGTTTGATCGCCCTGCTTCCAGGGGACTCGCAGGAGTCTTCTCCAGCACCATAGTTCAAAGGCCTCCATTCTTTGGCGCTCAGCCTTTCTTATGGTCCAGCTTTCACAGCCATAAATTGCAATTGGGAAAACCATGGCCTGGACTATACGCACTTTTGTTGGCAGGGTGATATCTCTGCTTTTTAGTATGCTGTCTAGATTTGCCATAGCTTTCCTCCCCAGGAGCAAGCGTCTTTTAATTTCTTGGCTGTTGAACTACTGAGATGCATATTACCCACAGTCAATCTGATTTGGGCAGTTTATAAATTTTGTAAATAAATGGAAGGAGAACCAAAGTTAAAATAACTAGGAATTTCCTGATGATAAGAACTATTAATAACCATGGAACAGCCTGTCTTCTGAAGTCATGGATGTTCCATTACTGAAGGTGTCCACACAATGTTGGACAATATGGGATGAAGGATTCCGGCCGTGGGCAGAAAGGACTGGATTAAAGGACCTCCAAGGTCCATTCCAGACTGTATCATTCTATGAAATAAAATAAATATTGAGTAACAATTTCCACAAACCACAGGCAGCCTACAGCTGCGCTTTAGAAAGTAGAAGTTGGTTTACTTCTGTTATTCATTAATCAGTTTGAACACAGATTAATATCTCTGTCCCTATATATAAGCCCTTAACTAGCCACCTCCTTACTAAAAATAGTACTGTACTAAAGATAGTACTTTCATACTTCTTATCAAAGACAGCGCAACCAATGCTATTATCTAAGTTTAGCTGCCCAAACAGTATGTCCTATATTTGCATGTTTTAAATGCACTGAGATCTACTCAAGAACAGACAAGAGAATTAAGACTGGAGTGCAACACCCAAAAAAAAATAAAATTTACAGCAAGTCAAAATAACTTAGGCTTTGGTTTTCAAATGATTTCAAACTCAAAAATGGCAGAAGAGTTAGCCAAACCAAAGCAAATCAGCAGAGATTTTGAGATTAAAGGCGATGTTATGGATTATTTGCAGAGATTAAAAGTACATGTGTATGTTCTTTATTCCTTATTGACTGTGGGACTTTCCGAGTAACTCTGAAACTGTTTACAAGATTGTTATATAGAATTTGGGTAGATTCCACAGTGTTGTTCCTGCTTACAGAACAATAAATTGTGAGTTTAAATTACAAGGAAGCATTTTCACACGTAGGGCTCGCCATCTGATAGGGCTGTTGTTGAATGCGACTCATATGTGTGCGGAGCAAATACTTGATACCACCACAGTACATAAAGAAGAATTTATCAACAATAGGAGGTCTTGAAATAGATTGCTCCAGAAAGTGGTAAATTTTAGTGGGAAAAAAGGGGGCAGAATGCCATAGGTTTCATAGCATGTTCTTGCTGGATTAGATGACCTGTACAGTCCCTTCCAAATCTAACATTTTATAATTCTATGAATATTTTAAGCACGAAGTGAAGCTTTCTGGAGATCTCTGGCAAGAACTATTCATCTTTTCTACAGAAGCCTAATAAGTGAGATGGAAGGGCATAAAATATGACAAGCAAAGGAAGCAAAACTGGCTAAAATTGCTTTTCACAGAGCTTTTGAAACCAAGAGAATGAAGCTTATTACTTATAAGAATGTTTTGGTGAAACAAAAGGAGGGCACTGTATTAGCCTTGGATTATTTAGCTATTTACTGATGTACTGATCTGGTTGATTATATGTGTAATACCGGTATTATATATTTAGATTGGACTGTATTGGACTGTGTATCCTGCTAGAATCATGAGACTAAAATGCACTTAAATCTCAGTGGCAAATAAATAAAATAATAAAAAGTGATGGGAGAAAGGTTCTGTTCAACTTAGTATCAGTCCAGATATTGCCTAAATATAAGACAGATTACCTACTGTACAGAAATAATAAAATAACTTAGGAATGCAAGTAATTTGATGCAAACTAGGAAAAATTCTATCAGACAAATTCTAGAAATAGCAATAGCATTTAGTCTTATATACAGCCCTATAGCACTTTACAGCACTCTCTGTGAGGTTTACAATGTAAGCATTATTTGCATATTTTCTCCAACAATCTGGGTCCTCATTTACCGACCTCAGAAGGATGACTTAACCTTGAGCCAGTCAGGATCAAACTCCTGGCAGTGAGCACTTTAACCACTGCGCCACCAAGACTCCCTAATTCTAAACTAGTAGATGTTTCTAACTATTTCTAAGGATAACTTACATGTTTTAGCGTACATATATGTAAACCACCACCTCCACATTAGCCGATTAGGAGTTGTGCCTTCTCTATACCTAGCACCTGAGGACTGCCTAGATCAGTGGTGGCGAACCTATGACACGGGTGCCAGAGGCGGCACTCAGAGCCCTCTGTGTGGGCATGCGTGCTGTCGCCCCAGTCCTAGGCCTTCAGCTGGGTTTTATAAAACCTTTTCGCTTTAGGCCTCCGCTGCCGTCTACAAAAAAAAAGGTTCAATCAATCAGTCAATTTCAAATTCTCGCGGAAAAAAAAAGATCTTGCAAAGTTGGAATTGATTGATTGAAATGTTAGTCCCACCCCACCCAGTCTGCTGTTACCACTGCAGCCATGCCCACCCAATGGGCCACACCTACCCGGCACCCGACGATGCGTAAGTGGGTTTTGGGTTGCATTGTAGGCACTCAGTCTCTAAAAGGTTTGCCATCACTGGCCTAGATTGTCAATTCCTGTGTTAGGGTAAAGTAATATAGATATTATTAAAAAATGGATTCCTCTGTGATTAGGAGAGTCCTGTTCAGGAAAAATCAAGGTTGCTAAAAATGTCCTATGTTGCCAAAATTGTTTATGTCTCTAAAAAATACTGGACAATTTTCTAGAGATACAAACTGGGAAAAAGTATTCCTATTTCTAAAAAAAGGGAGAACTGTCTGGACTGGAATACAATAAGCATCAGTCTCCCAGAACAGAAATTATCCAGTGTCTTGTCAACATATCGCCTTATCTTACTGCCTTTGATTTATTCCATTACTTAATATTAGCTATTTCAGAAGCCACCAATGTCTGTGAATTCTGCTGTTTAACAGTAACCCCACAAATATAATCATACCCAATTTATTATCAGTTTGGCCTCCCATCTATTAAGTCACTCAAGAAAGAAAAGCAGGGTTTGAGATTAAAGTTTGCTGTCAGCTAAAAGACAACCAATAAAATCTTATCCCATAAATAATCAGTTATAGTAGACCCAAAATTTTCAAGCATTTTGCACAAAAAGAACATACCCGAGACAAGTAGTTAAAAATAGTAACAATCTTTCAAGTCTAGAAGACTTTCCTAATTAATATTATCATTACTAGCCATTTCAAAACAGCAATTCAAACTATATTCTTTCTTTTGGCAAGACAGCAATATTTTTCAATACATTTGGTTATCATTTTCCACCTCCATTCAACTGAACGTTCAGCTCAACTTAAGGAGACAATATGAAAAAGAATTAATTATTCAGATAATTATTCAGATCTCATCAAGCAAGTTGAGCATATTCTCTAAGCAACCACAATCGATATAATAATAACAGGGTTTTTTTAAGGCACCATATCTAAACTCGATTAAGACTTTGAATTTAGGAAGAAAACATGGACATAGGCAACTAATAGATAAATTGCATGAGGGCAAATATACTGAGACTCTGTTTGTTTGAAACATTTATATCAAGGGTCCTCAAACTTGGCCACTTTAAGACTTGTGGACTACAACTCCCAGAATTCCCCAGCCAGTATGGCTGGCTGGGGAATTCTGGGAGTTGAAGTCCACAAGTCTTACAGTGGCCAAGTGTGAGGACCCCTGATTTATACCGTCACCCCTTTTATACAAGAATTAAAATACTGATAGTAAAAACCAAAACATCATATTAAAACTGCCTTAAAACAGTTTAAGGCAAAGATGATGAATACATAAAACTAAGCCAGTGGTTCTCAACCTTTTTAATGCCGCGACCCCCAACCGGTCATAAGTCGAGGACTATTCAATCAGTCGTAAGTCAAGGACTACTCAACTGGTGCAGCACTTTTTGCAGAATGGGACTTTTGGCAGGCTCAGCAGGGCAGAGACAGCCTGGACAATTCCTATTGGCTTTTGAAAGCCAATAGAATTAGACTCTATTCAAGAAAGTCTATTCTACTGGCTTTCAAAAGCCAATAGAATAAAAGGGAGTAGCACAGCTAAGGAAAAGGGGGGAAAAAATGGCGGACTGCATTGTTTGGCGACCCCCGTGAAATGTTGTTCGACCCCAAATGGGGTCCCGACCCACAAGTTGAGAACCATTGAACTAAGCCGTACAATTATTCATTCACAGACAGGAACCACATGAATTTCAGTCACAGTTTTCCTCACCTTCAAGTCTCTATGAACAATGGGTGTTTTGCACTGGTGCAGCCTAGCAACAGCTTCACAGGCATCACAAAAAATTCTTAGCGCTTCTGATTCAGTAAAGCCCGTTTGTAATCTCTGGTTCATCTGATTCACTATTTGCCCCACTACAAAGAAGGGATAAAAAAAAATAATGCTTTTAAGAGGGTTTTAGCCGATCGGATGCTAAATTTAAATATTAAATATTTGACTGAATAAATGAAATCTCCAAAAGCCTAAAATGCTTCACACAACGTCGCTCTTCAAAGTTAAGAATTTAGATTTCATCTATTATTTATCAGAGACAAACACTTAAGGATACAGTTAACATGGGCATTTCACAATAACAAACTGTATCGAAACATTTTTTAAAAAAATTAATTTTAAATGGCAAACTCTCCTGATTAAAAAATAAGTCCCTATTTATGGATAATAAACTGCAGTCCAAGCAGAAATAACAAAATTAATTGTGCCACATTGCAGAGAGTATCTTCTGCAGATCAATCTGAAACACTGATTCTATAAGAAATGTGCTCTGAATATTTCGTATAGCCCTAACATGTGAGCGATCACTGACATTTTTCTACCGTTTTTGCTTTCTAACAAGAAGCAACAAAATGGAGGAACGTTAATGAGTAAGGTTGGCTATGGGTAGTCTATTTCACCCTGGAGTACCTATATCCAAAGCTGCTGTAACTTTGTTCATAACCTTGCATGCTAGCCAAATATTAAAATGACAAAAAATGTACTTACCGCGACAATATTCCATTAAGATAAGCACCTCCCACACATTATCACTAACAGAGTTGACAGCACAATCCAAATACCCTACAATGTTCTTGTGCCCAGACAGTTCTTTCTGTAAAAAGAGAAATATTCTTAAGTATAAAGAAAAAAAAGAATATGTTACTTTCAAGATCAAACACAAAAGTAACTCTACTACAAACTATCAATGCAAACTATTAATCATCAGTTAATTATTTGATGATGCATTAGACATTTTATTTATTTACTTATTTTATTTATTTTCAAATATTTATATGCCGCCCAATCCCAAAGGACTCAGGGCGGCGTACAAAGTTAAAACAATGATAAAACAATAAAATAAAACAGTCATACCGCGAGTCCAATCATATCCCGGCCCCCTGGGGACATCAGCCCCAGGCCTGCCGGAACAGGAGAGTTTTAACGGCCTTCTTAAAGGCTGGCAGGGTGGGAGTAGTTCGAACCTCGGGGGGGAAGTTGATTCCACCAGGTCGGAGCCATCACAGAAAAGGCCCTTCCCCGAGGGCCCGCCAGCCGACATTGTCTGGCCGACGGGACCTGAAGGAGGCCCAATCTGTGGGACCTCACCGGTCTCTGGGAGCTGTGCGGCAGAATGTGGTCCTGTAAGTAACCTGGCCCTATGCCATGAAGGACTTTAAAGGTGATAACCATAAATATTATAAAATATTTTATAAATATTTGTTTCTTGTTATCTCCTTGAATACAGACCAATGTGATATCTGAAATAGAATAGAATAGAGCTGGAAGGGACCTCGGAGATCTTCTAGTCCAGCCCCCCGCTCAAGCAGGAGAACCTATACCATCTCAGACAAGTGACTGTCTAGTCTCTTCTTAAAAACCTCCAGTGATGAAGCACCCACAAATTCTGTTCCTGGTTAATTGTCCTCACTGTTAGGAAGTTTCTCCTTAATTCCAGGTTGCTTTTCTCTTTGGTCAGTTTCCAACCATTGTTTCTTGTCCTGCCCTCTGGTGCTCTGGAGAACAGTTTGATGCCCTCTTCTTTGTGGCAGCCCCTCAAATACTGGAATACTGCTAACATGTCACCCGTTTCTTTTTTTCTTCAGACTAGCCAAACCCAAGTCCCGCAGCCGTTCTTCATATGTTTTAGTCTCCAGGCCTTTGATCATTTTAGTTGCTCTTCTCTGAACTTTTCCCAAAGTCTCAACATCTTTCTTGTAGTATGGTGACCAAAATTGGTTGCAATATTCCAGGTGTGGTCTTGAAATAATTAATCTCTCCCAAATCTCTCCTAAAGTGCTAGGCTGTATTAACAGAGGGATAGAATCAAGATCACGTGAAGTGTTAATACCACTTTACAAGGCCTTGATAAGGACACACTTGAAATACTGCATCCAGTTTTGGTCACCACGATGTAAAAAAGATGTTGAGACTCTAGAAAGAGTACAGAGAAGAGCAACAAAGATGATTAGGGGACTGGAGGCTAAAACATATCAAGAACGGTTGCTGGAATTGGGTATGTCTAATCTAATGACGAGAAGGACGAGGGGGGACATGATAGCCGTGTTCCAATATCTCAGGGGCTGCCATAAAGAAGAGGGAGTCAAGCTATTCTCCAAAGCACCTGAAGGCAAGACAAGAAGCAACAGATGGAAACTAACCAAAGAGAGAAGCAACCTAGAATTAAGGAGAAATTTCCTGACAGTTAGAAAAATTAATCAGTAGAACAACCTACCTCTAGAAGCTGTGAATGCTCCAACATTGGAAGTTTTTAAGAAGAGACTGGACAGCCATTTGTCTGAAATGGTATAGCGCAGAGGTCTTCAAACTTCACCCTTTTATGATTTGTGGATTTCAACTCTCAGAATTCCTCAGCCAGCGTGCCTTCAACTTGTGGAGTTCAAGTCCACAAGTCATAAAAGGCCAAATTTGAAGACCCCTGGTATAGGGTTTCCTGCCTGAGCAGGGGGTTGGACTAAATAACCTCCAAGATCCCTTCCAGCTTTGTTGTTGTGTTGTTGTTATCATTATTATTATTAAATAAACCTACAAAACTTTCTTTGTGTTATCTAATTACTGGCTTAGAATCATTAAGTTATTTACTTCCTCATATCAAAGAACCACATGTAAACACAATGAAAACAAATTCAAACATTAGATCACAAACTAATGCATGCTTTCTAAACAATCCCCACCCACTCATATACGCACATCATAAAACTCATATTAACTTACCATTATTGTTATTTCCCTTTTGCAGATATTGAGGTCAGGCACATTATTCACATACATTCTTTTCAATGCACACCGAACTCCACCATGAGTGCGCACAAGGAGTACCGTGGAAAAGCCACCTACAAGAACAGTGCTATGAGTAAGTTCATCTTTTTAAGTTAAGAAACTAAAGTTTATTCCTTAAAAAGTAATTCAGATGATCAATATTCTTTTTTTTAATATTTTTTATTTTTCCAAACTCTCCCCCATACATATACCGTGATATTTATCAGATGTTAACATACATTCTTTTTACATTCATATACTGTATAAAAATACTTTTAATAAAATGAAATAAATACATACACATGACTTTTGGTGTTGCTCGCCCATTTCCCCTTTCACTGTATCCACGCTCCTTCTTCTCTACCTTCTTTCTCCCTTTCTTCTCTTCCCTACTTCCCTCTTCTTCCTCTCCTCTCCTTCACCACTCTCCTCCCCTTTCTCCCCACTTCTCCTCCTCCAACCTTCCTACTTCCTTCTCCCCTCCTTTACTCTTTTCTCTCTCCTCTCCTTTCTTCCCTCTCATCCCTCTTCAGATACAATTCAGGGGTAATGTCCAAGCAACTCTTCTAGATGATCAATATTCTTGAATGCTTTCATTTAGTAGAATTATGTAAAAATCTGCTAGGAGATATGCAGTAAAGCAGAGGTCCCCAACCTTGGCAACTCCCAGAATTCCTCACCCAGGAATTCTGGGAGTTGAAGTCCACAAGTCTTACAGTTGCCAAGGTTGGGGACCCCTGCAGTAAAGGACAAATGCCTATTATTTTCACATTTCAGAATTTCATTTATTTAGAAAGAAGGAATTAGGTTCAAGCAGTCTATTGAATCCAAATCTGGAAAGCCAATATATCAAAATAATCAGAGAAGAAGGATTTTTTTATTCAAAAAGTAACTATTACTGTAAATTCTGCAACTTCACAGAAACTTCTGCAAACATCCTACGAAATGTCAGAACTTTGCTTCACAGAATGGTTTATACAGGGACAAACAGAAATGCTTGAAAACAGTTTTAGAAACATTTAATGATGCAGCTGAAGTTAGTACAAACTAGAAAAACAAAACTTCACATGAAAGCCTAATACAGCATAACTCAACCACTATACATTTCAAATTTTTGTTCCACAATATAGCTTTTACCAGTTTTAAATATTGATCTAGTTCAGTGTTGCCTTGTAAACTTTTAAATACTTCATCTAATTTTCTTGCCATCAAAAGCAAATCCTCTCTGAATATATCCTGAATGCTTTTTTTAACTATAAATCGCCCACAGTCACTTAGGTGAGATGGGCTATGTAGAAATATAAATGGGATGGATGGATGGATGGATGGATGGATGGATGGATGGACGGACGGAGTGAATTCCCAAGGTACCACATCACTTGTAAGACGAGAAAATCAAAATATGGATACAGGTAGTCCTCAACATGACCATTCATTCAGGGACTGTGGAAGTTATGGCAATTCTCAACAAAGGGACTTACAACTGTGCCCAAAGTTACAGCCACTGCAATGTTCCCACTGTCACATGATCAAAACGTGGGCACTTTGCAGCTCACCCACACTTAACAATTGCAGAGGTGCTGCCACTCCCCCTCATCTGCCTGTCTACCCCCATCTACGCCCTTTCGGTTCCTTGCACTCCATACCTCAAGTCCCTATCTCATTTTTATCGTCTTTCTTGCTTCCACTACTGATCAAGAATGCATGCACGGTCTGCTCCTTTGCATGGGGGCTGTTGGCTACTTGGGGCTATCTTCCCAAGGCTGTACAGGTGGTTTCCTTGCAAGATGGCCTCCCGTCATTTCCTCAACAAAGGCCACGTTTTGTCAGCAGCAGGAGGAAGAAAACAACAAAGCTCACCCAGGGTAGTGAAGCACATGGTGGCAGGGGCCTCAAAGTACAAGGTGATGTTAACGACAGCTGCTGGGACTGGGCTGGCTGTGAACAAGCATACCTAATACTTCTATTTTCCTATTTTCCCCATAATAACAACCCTATTAGGTGGGTAGGACTGAGAGGCAGTGACTGGCCCAAAGTCACCAGCTGGCTTTCATGACTAAGAAAAGCCTCAACTCCTGGTCAGCATCTTAAACTCTGGACACCAAACTGGCTGTCATTTTGTGGCACTTGAATGAACCTTTATTATCAAAGTACAACATGTATACAATGAGACTGGCTGAGCCTCCCTCTGTGCCCCCCCCTCCACCACAACTCACAGTGACAACAAACCCACCAACTTATTACACCATGTAAGCTAATTGCATAACGCGGCGGCCTCACGAGTCTATCATACATAAAGTTATTTCCCGTTCAAGCACCTGACAGCCCATGGATAGAAGCTGTTCTTCAGCCCGTTGGTACGGCTGGCTATATTTCTATATCTCCTACCCTATCAGAATGCAAATTATATTAACACAAGCACATATGCTAAAACACCTAATTATTCTTCAAAAGAACTTTTGCAATAAACAGGAGCTACTCTAAGAACTGACTTTGTAGAAAAAAGAGTACTCCAACATCACAGAGTCCAGGTTGAACATTCTCACGTAGGTTTTCAATTTAAACAACCAATACTGCATATTTTTAAAAAACATGGATCGCTATTTTCACCATCACTGAGAAACCAATGAGTGTCTACTAAACGAAGCCTGAAACTACCGAAGCACAGACTGAAGTAAGTATTCCTTTGCCATTAGATGGCAACATACCCTAGCACAGTGTTTCTCAACCTTGACAATTTTAAGGCATGTGGACTTCAACTCCTAGAATTCCACAGCCAGCAATGCTGGCTGTGGAATTCTGGGAGTTGAAGTCCACATGCCTTAAAATTGTCAAGGTTGAGCACCTTTTAAATCTATCACTGTTCCAGATAGTAAACTGTAATATCCTGTAATAAGAATGTGATTGTACTAATGTCTGATTATTTCCAACATCTTATTTATTCAAGATTTTTTTACATTACATTACATTTTTTTACATTAACAGGCTAACTATTTATAGAATTACATAAGGGTTGACTGGATATAAAGCAAAATGTGAGAATAAGATTTGCAAGTCTTCTATTTCACAAAAGTCCTCACTCTTAAATCCTTCTCACTATAAAACCTTGACAAAATTGCCATGTTTTATGTAGAAACCCTATAACAGTGATGACGAACCTTTTAGAGACAAAGTGCCCAAACTGCAACCCAAAACCCACTTATGTATTGTCGGGTGCCAGGTGGATGTGGCCCATTGGGTGGGTGTGGCCCACTGGGTGGGCGGAGCTGCAGTGGTAAACGGCAGACAGGATGGGACTGAAAAGTTCAATCAATCAATTCCAACTTTGCAAGATCTCTCCCTCTCCCCCCCCCAAGAAGTTGAAATTGATTGATTGATTGAACCTTTTTTTTTTTTTTTTGCACACGGCGGCAGAGGCCTAAAGAGAAAAGGTTTTATAAAACCCAGCTGAAGGCTTAGGACTGGGGCGATGGCACACGTGCCCACAGAGAGGGCTCTGTGTGTCACCTGTGGCACGCGTGCCACAGGTTCGCCACCACGGCCCTATAACCACCCTTAATCTACTTAAAATATTGATTCAAATACACACAAAGTATGCAGCCTTCTCCCTAGCTACGGCTTTCTCCATAACAAATTCTGAGACTCAAGACATCATGATAGTATTATGCTATTTAAAGCTCTTACATTTTTAAGAGATTCCTTTTATTAAATAGAGGGCTTTGCAGAACTTCAGCTTTAAAGACAAAAACGTGTTTCAGTGTATGTGGGGTTTCAAAAATGGCACCTCTCTGCAACTCCTTAAACCAAATATGTTCTTCTATAATCAAGCACAAGTAGAAGTGTGATCTTGAAGGGAAAAAAAGCATCTGAGTTGCAGACAGATGCTACATTCCAGTCAATCCAAAGAATATTTTGCATTGCACAGCCCTGGAAACCGCCAAAGTACCAATGACTTGAGAGTTCTATTCCCATTCCAAATGAAGGAAGTTTCAGGGAGCTTCAGCAACTAAAACTGGTCCAGTTAGAGCAGCGGTTCTCAACCTTTCTAATGCCGCGACCCCATAATACAGTTCCCCAACCACTTATATATCACCGGGTGCCAGGCGCGTGGCCAAAGAAAAGGGGGGAAAAAATGGCGGACAGCCTTGTTTGGCGACCCCCGTGAAATGGTCGTTCGACCCCAAATGGGGTCCCGACCCACAGGTTGAGAACCACTGAGTTAGAGAGTGACCTTAACAAACAAGTTTCAAAAACCACATCCTCGACAGTAGGATTTTGAAACTGCATTCCACAGAAATCTAGGATTCTACAAGGACTTAAATCGGTTCAATAGAATTTAATGAAGAGAAGGACGAGGGGTGACATGATAGCAGAGTTCCAATATCTCAGGGGCTGCCCCAAAGAAGAGGGAGTCAAGCTATTCTCCAAGGCACCTAAAGGCAGGACAAGAAGCAACGGATGGAAACTCATCAAGGAGAGAAGCAACCTAGAACTAAGGAGAAACTTCCTGACAGTGAGAACAATTAACCAGTGGAACAACCTGCCTCCAGAAGCAGTGAATGCTCCAACACTGGAAGTCTTTAAGAAGAGACTGGACAGCCATTTGTCCGAAATGGTGTAGGGTTTCCTGCCTGAGCAGGGGGTTGGACTAGATGACCTCCAAGGTCCCTTCCAACTTTATTATTATTGTTGTTATTGTTGTTGTTGTTGAATTAATGGGGGGGGAGACTCTCTACAGGGAACCAAGAAAAAAAATGCCACACTGTAGCCCAGGGGTAGGCAACCTTGGCTCTTCTATGACTCGTGGACTTCAACTCCCAGAATTCCTGAGCCAGCATGGCTCAGCTTGGAAACTCTCCTTCCCCTCAGCATGGCTGGCTCAGGAAATCTGGGAGTTGAAGTCCACGAGTCATAAAAGAGCCAAGGTTGCTACCACTGCTGTAGTCCCATGCAGAAGGGACTCCCCCCCCCCTACTCTGGTATGAAGAGGTTCCTCCACCCAACTTCAGTCACTTGTGAGAATTTTTTTTAAAAAAAGGAAAAAAAATCTCTGCATAATAAAATTGTCATGGAC